AATTTGATAAAAATCTGGAACATTCTTTTGAAGCAGGAATAAACCGACCCATTTGATGGCCCATTTTGATTGTAGTTGGGAGAGTGAAGAGGTGTGGGTTGATAGCCCACCTCATTTTTTTGAAGAGTATGGGCGGCTTCAAAGCTCCGGGCAAAGGTGGGTATCCACCGCTGTTCTACCAACGCAACTGGGAAACGGTTGTGACCGCGTTCTGTGAGTTTATTCGTGACTGTTTTGCTACCCTTTCGGGGATTAAGGCGGTTAATGAGACGTTGCTGGTACTTATCTTGAAGAAGGAGAGCCCGACTTTGATCAGAGACTTCCGCGCCATTGGCCTGTGCAATGTGGTGTATAAGACACTGACAAAATGCCTCGTGAACAAAATCAAACCATTGATGGCTAAGTTGGTCCACCCGACGCAGACAAGCTTTGTTCCGGGAAGGCATATCTCGAGCAACATCATAATTGTACAGGAGATGGTCCACTCAATGATGATGAAGAAAGGAAAGAAGGGCCATATGATTGTTAAAATTGATTTGGCCAAAGCGTATGACCGGATAGATTGGAGGTTTGTTCAGAAGAAACTAGAGCTGACGAGGTTTCCTAGTAAGCTGATCGACGTGATCATGCATTGCATCACGACTCCGTCCATGCAGGTGTTATGGAATGGTTGTCAGACCAAGGCTTTCTCCTCGTCCCGGGGCTTGCGCCAGGGCTGCCCTCTATCCCCGTACATCTTCACTCTATGCATGGAGCGCCTGAGACATACCATCGAGGCAGCAATGCAGGGAAAGAGATAGCGGCCCATTAGTACGGCCCTAGGTGGCCCAAAACTCTCATTTGTTTTTTGCTGACGATTTGATTCTATTTGTAGAAGCATCTAAGGCGCAGGGTCAGATTACCCTTGATTGCCCGGAGAGCTTCTGTCAGGCATCGGGGGAACAGGATAGCAAGGAGAGCTTCTTGCCTAACACGACCTGCCCCTGCAGCGCGGACATCTCTCGCCTCATGGGGATCCTGGCAACTCAGGATTTGGGGTGCTACCTCGGGGTGTCGGTTCTTCATGGGAGAGTGACGAAAGAGACATATAAGTATATCTTAGACATGATCGATAAGAAGTTGGCTGGCTGGCGTGCAAAGTCGTTGTCTCTTGCGGGGAGGGTTACTCTAGCTACGTTGGTGCTTAGCTCTCTCCCCACCTATGCGATGCAAACAACTTTCTTGTCGGTTTCCATCTGTGATGCCATCGACCAAAGGGTTAGAAGCTTCATATGGGGCTCCACTACGGATTCTCGAAAAACTCACCTGGTGCATTGGGACGGGATATGCAAGTCAAAGTCGGCAGGAGGATTGGGACTTCGTCGAGCCAGGGAGCTTAACCTTGCTTTCCTCTCCAAACTCTCCTGGAATTTTACTGTTAATCTTGACGAGTTATGGGTTAAAGTGTTGCAGGCTAAATATTTTAAAATAGTGCAGGGAGTTCTGACCAGGAAGTCAATGGCTCGTGCTTCACCCCTCTGGCGCGGCATGATGAAGTCCTGGCCAATCATGGTGAGAGGAATGAGAATGTGTATTCAGGATGGGAAAGCAACTAGCTTTTGGACAGACAAATGGGTAGATAGTGGAGACGTGCTCCTTGACTATGCCCGCGAAGAGAGCCCCCTGAGAATCTAAACATTCCGGTGGCAGCATTCGCCTCGGCGGAAGGTGAGTGGAATATTATGGCTTTGCGAGAGGTCCTGACTAAGGAGGGGCTTATGCAGGTTTTGGGGATCCAACCCCCGTGGGAGGATGCAGGCGAAGATCGAGCACTTGGGGACCAGAGCAGGACGACAAATTCCGCATCCGGTCAGGGTATGAGATTGCCACAGACGGGACGGTGGAGGATGGACAGGTAGACTGGCGGACGTTGTGGAGGTGGCGAGGACCGGCTAGGATTACCCCATTTCCTGTGGTTAGCCTACCGTGAGCGCCTCCTGACGAACGCAGAACGTACCAGGCAACACATTGCAACCTCAACAACTTGCACTCATTGTCATCAAGGGCCCGAAACAGTCCTGCATCTGTTGCGGGACTGTTCTTTTGCCAGGTTAACTTGGACGCAGCTCGTTTAACCTTCTGAATACCATAGTTTTTTCGAGATGCAGCTACAAGATTGGATTCAACACAACCTAAAAGAACCGCATAACAGCCTCGGCTTTGGAGCTATTTGTTGGTCCCTTTGGAGGACCAGATTCGATCATGTCTTTGAAGGCAAGATCATAACTCCTGAAGCCTTTATACTGCGTATCCAGGCATGGATTAAGACTTTGAGAGATGCCTTGGATAAGGATCGACGTGTGAATTGGTCGGATTCGCCCATGAGAACGGATGCGTTGATCTCTTGGCAGCCGCCGCCTCCAGAGTGGGTCACTCTCAACTCTGACGGCTCAGTTCACCCTTCTTCAAGTCACGCCTCTACTGGTGGCTTGGTTCGAGATCACTTAGGACGCTACCTGGCAGCGTATGCGATTAAGCTCGGGATTTGCTCTATCACCTGAGCTGAGTTGAGAGGCGCAGTTTATGGGCTTCAGCTGGCTTGGGACTTGGGTCATCGTCGTATCCAGGTTCCCATGGACTCCAAGTGTGCGGTTCAACTTCTTCGACATGAGGGTGACGTTAACCGTCACTCAGCGGTGCTCCGTCATTTCCAGACACTCTTGAGTAGAGACTGGCAGGTTGTGATTTCTCACATCTATAGGGAGGGGAACTATTGTGCTGATTACATTGCCAGTAGAGGTCATTCTATGTCCTTTGGTTTACACGAATTCCCCATTACTGATCCTTCCTTGTGTAATTGGATTTTGTATGACGTTCAGGGGATTTCCGAACCCCGCTTGGTTGTGAATGAAGGTTAGAACGCGCTGCGTTCATTTTTATATATAAAAAAATAGTCAATCCAAAACCCACTACTCCTAATAATAAGCTAAGAAAGACAATCCCTCTAACAATGCAATCCCCAAATATCCGCCCACTAACAGCACGCAACATGAAGCTGGGCCGGCTGGGCACCCTGACGGCGAGCCAAGCGGACGCCGACGCCATTAGGGATGGCAACAAAACCCGAACCCACGGGTACCCACCCGACCCAACCCGGTCAACGCGGGTAAAACCCGTGTTGACGGGTTTTGGGCCGGGTTCGGGTTTAAACCCGCTACACTATTCACCGGGTTGGGTTGGGTTTGGGTTTAGGTAAACCCACCCCATGGGTACCCGCCCACACACATATAATTACTTTCCCAGTATATTTAATATTCTAAATAATATATCTTCCTTAAATAACTAATATTCTATATGTTTGTGGAGACATGTATAATTTGTTCTTTCTAATTGTTTAGAATGAAGTTGATATTATGAAGTGGAGAGTGAAGAAACTTAGTTGACGAGGAAGAAGCTTTCAATTAATCTTATTGTTTATATATGTTTATCTTTAATTTTGAACAATTTGTATTGATCATTTGCGGTTTGCTTGTATGCTCTACATTGGTGTTTTTTGTATGATTAATTTGTATGAGAAAATTGATGTTAAACTTTTATTTTGAAAGAAACTTGTTATTGTAAATTTTTACCACAAAAACCCACGGGTACCCATGAACCCGCGGATACCAGCGGGTTGGGTTGGGTTTGAGTTTTTCAAACCCAACGGGTTTTATCCTGGGTTTTTTTGGCGAATAAACCCATGGGTTTGGGTTTGGGTTTGATAAAACCCGCCCCAACCCGACCCATTGCCATCCCTAGACGCCATCATGCTGAGCCCTTGGGCCAAAGTGACGATCTTGATCAACCTCTTCGCCTGGTACAACCTCTTGGTGAAGGACCTCGTGGCCCTCTCAAGCTCCCACTCAATCGGCAAAGGCCGATGCTTTTCCATCCAGTTCCGCCTCTTCACCGGTATGATGAAGGAAGTTAGTGGCGGAGACGATGAGGACGATGGACAGATTCATGGGATGGTGGAGAGGAACGACGACGGTCTAGCGGTAAAAAAATAATAATTAAGAGAATTTGGATTTTTAAATAATTTTTTATAATAATTAGGTGGAAGATAACAAACAATTATATTTTATTATTTTTTAATTGCCACGTCACTCATTTAACGGTCAATTATAAGAGTTGACCGCCACATCTGCAAAAGTTATCGGAGACTAACGGTCAGTGACCAAACTTGAACTGTTAATCTAATTTAAGTGACTGCGGATGGAATAAATTTATTTGATTGACAAAAATGAACTTTTGTAGTAATTCTAGTGATCGAACTTGCAATTTAGCCCAAATTATTAGAGGAATCACAAAGGAGGACCAATCCATAAAACCCAAACAAAATAAAACCAAAAAGAGCCCAACCCACTAGCTAACAAATACACAATTAGGGGTCAAGTTGTCCACAATTTTAGAGTTGAGTTCCAACTTCACTATCCTTTTTGTCCATTGGTACTTTGAATGAAAGTGCAAATGCTATAATAAACGAGAAAATTTAGTCTGGATGTTTATGTGAGGGTTAGGTTTCTTGAATCGGTGAGTTGCATATAAGTTTCGAAAAGTATAGACTAATTCAAATACTTTTAAATATTTATGGGTAGATTTTAATTGAAGCATTCGTTGAGTTTGTTATTTTTAGAAATTATTTGTATTCGTAATTGGTAAAAGAGTGTATTTAACTTTACATTTTTAAGGGGTTTACATTGTGTATTAAAATTTGAGAAATTTTACAATGCTATATAGTATTGGTGCTATAGGATTTTGCCTTTATGGTACAACTTAAAATTGTACATTTACGTTATGGTACAACTTCAGATTGTACCTATACTTTTTGTATAAATTCTTTTATGGTACAACTTGAACTTGTACTTTTATGTGATGGTACAACTTCAAGTTGTAAAGTTTGTACCATAACATAATGGTACAAATTGTTTTATGGTACAACCTAAACTTATACATTTAATGTTATGGTACAACTTTAAGTTGTACATTAAAGCACCAATACTATATAGCATAGTAGAAGTGCTCTTAAAATTTATGTATACTTTTTGTGTCATGAACGACCCAATTATGTGTTTTTTTTATTAAATTTGATATTCTTTTGAACTTTAATTTTTTTTATTAGATAAAAGTTCGTTCTATATCTTAAATCACTGATCAATTTTTCCCCATAGAGTAATGGTTGACACTTAATAATCCCTGATTCATTGATATATTCTATGCAAGAAAGAATTTCACTAAAACTTCTTCCTCTTTAAGAAAAATTCCATTTTCCACAACTAATTTTCCCTTTTGGATCGCTCCTAAAAAGATAGAAAAAATTTCAGCGTAAACCCATTTTTTTGGGCTTCCTAAACCAAAGGGGTGGAACGAGAACAAAAAAAGAAAGAAAAAAGGGCTTCCTTTCCAAACCCTTGCTGGGTTCGTCTGCTTTCCCGTAAGCAAGATCTAGCAGCAACAAGGTATACACTCACTCACTCTGGACCCATGAATCTACCCTTCCTCGACGGTGTTGTAAAGCAGTGTTCTTGATTCTTTTCCTCCACTATCTTGGTCAGTGTTGATCTCTCAAGTACATTATTTAGCTTCTGCTGTTTAGGGTTTTATCAGTGGATTTTTCTTTTCGTCCCGCTTCTTATTGCTTCCATAATGAAAGTTTTTTCCTCTATAGGCTTTGGAAATCGACCCAGTTTCCATGGATGGGGCTGAGGATAAGGATGTTTCCTCGAGGAATAATTTGGGTCCTCCATCTAGAGTCACAGTTACTGAGCCTGTTGCTAGTGGAAGTGAGAAAGCCCCGGCTGCCGAGCCTTGTGCTGGGGAAGTTGAGGGAAACAGAGAGGAAGAGAGTCAGAGCGTGAAGACTTCCTCTGAGAAGGTTGTTGTGGGGGTAAGTGGTGGTTCTTGTAACGGAGTAGATAAAGAAGTTGGGGTTTCAGGGTCTGGTGTACGTCATTCTGATGATGGGGAGACTTTACAGAAGAAAGTGGTGCTTGTGTTTGATGGGCGTGAAGTAGATTTAGAGAGAGCTGCGGAAGATTCAGTTGATGATATTCCAGTGGCAGGAAATCAGGACCCAACTGTTCAGCCCTCGGGTGTTGCCGAGGTCTCTTCCAATAGAGTACAAAGAGAGGAGTGTGGAGGTAAGGATGGAGTTGTGAGTTGCAGTGATGGCAAAGGTGAGGATGGCAAGGCTTCACCTGATGGTGGAGCTGACAATAACCGTAATACTGGGATCGGGATTAGTGGTGGAACCTTTTCTTCTGTAGATAAGAGGCCCATGGATGGAAATGTGGCTCAAGAAGGTCAAACCCAAGTTACTGATGGTTCCAATGATGGTGAAACGTGTGTACAGGATTCAGCAGATGCTTCCAATGACGGTGAAACTTGTGTACAGGGTTCAGTGGATGGGGATACCCAACTCATGGATGATTCTGTGGATGAGGATGCTCAAGTAAATCATCCATCCAGTTATGGTGAAACTCAGGTTATACAAGATTCACTGAACCAGGATTTCCATGTCATAGAGGCCAGGTATCGGGAAACTCAAGTTCCTGATGGCACCAAGGTCAGGGAAACTCGGGTTGCACACGTTTCAGTCAATGGCGATAACCAACTTGTGGGAGTTTCGAGGGAGGGGGATTCCCAATTGAATAATTTTTCTGAGGATGCGGGAACTCAGGCTATACAAAGTTCAGCGGATGAAGTTATGCAAGTCGTAGAGGATCCCAGTAACAAAGACATGGATGGTTCCAGAGATGTGGATGTCCAAGTCAACAGTGGCGGAGAAACTCAGGCAATACATGGTTCACTGATTGTGGATACCCAAATTGTAGAGGATACTTGTACCCAAGACATGGATGGTTCCAGGGATGGGGAATCTAGGGTTATACAAGGTTCTGTGGATGAGAATACCCAGTTCATAGAGGATCCTGATGCCCAAGGGATGGATGTTTATGGGGATGTGGAAACCGAGGTTCCTAATGATTCCGGTGGTGGGGAAACTCAGGTTGTGCCTGGTTCAGTGGATGAGGATACCCAAGTTTTAGATGGGGAAACCCAGGTTGCAGATGTTTCCCTGGATGGAAAAACTCAGGTTCTCAAGGGTTCAGTGGAAGGAGAAGAACATGTCAAAGTTGTTGATATGACTGATTTTTCAAAGGACGAGGACATGGATGGGGGTTTAACCAAGCAAAACACAGCAGTGCCCATCGAGGATTTGAATTCTCAGGAACCCGGACCATCAGAGAATGATATAAAAGATCTAGATATGAGAAGTGGCTTGGGTGACACTTCCGGTGATGAGAATAGAACTTTTGCTGTTACTGAGAAAGCCGAATTGGCTGAAGAGTCTGAGGGGCAGCCTATGCGAATTGTTGAAACTGAGGAAGTTCCTGCTCAAGATTCAGAGACACTTGGAAGTGCTCTTGTGCTAGATGAAGTATTTGATACTGGAAATGAAGCTCCTATTGGACTGGAATCTACTGTCTTGGAAGATTTAGGGCAGAAGATTGAGGTTCTGGACGAGGCACTTGTATTTAATGTCAGCGCGGGAGGTTTAACTTCCCCATTAGAAGCATCAGGTAGTGATCCTATTGAAAAATCCTCTACAAGTGATGCTTTGGAGGGGATGCCATCCAGTTCTGCCAATGATACGGTTCAAATGGTGAAAAATGAGATTGGGAATGTTACCTCTGAAACTCTGGATGAAGCGGGACAATATCCCGTTGAAGGGAAAATGGCATCAGTTGACGATGAAGAAACTACGTGTCCTATTGTTGAGAATGTTACCTCTGAGACTCTGGATGAAGGGGGACAAGATCCCGTTGAAGGGAAAATGGCATCAGTTGACGACGAAGAAATTACCTGTTCTAATATTGAAGGTATGGATGCTGATGCTTTTAATGAAAATTTTTGCTTTTCAGTGGAAGAACTCCAAGCATCAGGTGAGATGGTCAACGGGAGCACTGAACATCACTATCATGCAATTGCAGATCCACCATTTTTCTCCCAGCCAACTGATGTATATATTGGAGGTGAAGCTACAAATCCTTTGGAGAACAAGGTACTCATGAGTTCTGGAAAAGAACAGTTAATATACCACTCTATCTCTTTTGATCATTTCTGGGCTCACTCAAATGTGGAGTCGGTCCTGAAAAATAGCCAGCACAGTACTGATGCTGAACAAACTCGTCTGCAGAAACAGCAGGGAATAACCTTGGCAGACCAGCTAGTATTCAAGGCTGAAACAGGTAATGATAGTGTGGCAAATGGCAGCAGTCATCAGTCTCCTGATTCAGCATCTTCTTTCCGGTCCACTGAGGCAGTTGCTGGAGATGATGTTGCTCAAATGGATCCCTTTGTCAATTTAGATGCAACCCTATATCCCGCTGGAGACAATCAGAATCTAAATACTGAGGCAGCAGGAGTGGGGCTGGAAAGATATAATGAAGCAGCTTCCATCCAATGTGATGTGTTGCCCTCTAACGTTGGTCTTTCAGAAGCCTCTGAAAATCTAGCATTAACAGTTGAAGAAACAATGATGGAAGTTCATGAACAGGATTCACATGAGGAACAGACTGAGGGGGTTGCAAAAGCCGGTGGAGAGGAAGTTTCGACTTCAAACAGAAGAAATACTTTGAGTTCCAACGCTGAGGTAGGGCAGCCTCCAGATTCAGATCAGTTATTGAATATTAAAGCTGGTTCTACTATAGTGCAAGAAGTTATGGTTGAGACACATGTTCTTGATATTGATCAGTTTTGTCAACAGGAATTCGAAGAAAGCGAGGTCGATATTACCGATGAGAAATCATCGGAGTGGGCTAGTCTGCACAATGGAAGCTTGGGAAGTGCACACCAAGCTTGTTATCAGCTGCCGTTCGACAATGAAGGTGAATTCCATGTATCTGATTTGGTTTGGGGAAAAGTTAAAAGCCATCCTTGGTGGCCTGGGCAGATATTTGACCCCTCAGATGCCTCTGATCAAGCATTGAAGTATCAGAAGAAGGATAGCTTTTTGGTAGCATATTTTGGGGACCGTACATTTGCATGGAATGAAGCACCTCTTTTGAAGCATTTCAGATCACATTTCAGTCAGGGAGAGAAGCAGAGCAATTCAGAATCATTCCAAAATGCTGTTGGTTGCGCATTAGAAGAATTCTCAAGGCGAGTCGAACTGGGCTTGGCTTGCTCCTGTGTGCCAGAAGAAGATGCAGACAGAATCAGGTTTCAGCTCTTTGATAATTCTGGCATCCAGCGAGAAGCCTGCAGAAGAGGTGACTTTTTGGGCAAATCTGGAAGTGCAGATTTGTTCGAACCTGTCAAGTTAGTTAGTTACGTTAAATCTCTTGCACAATGTCCAGCTGGTGGGGCTAATCAATTGGATCTCGTGATTTTGAAGTCTCAGTTGCTCTCCTTCTATCGATTGAAAGGGTATTCCCCGCTGCCTGAATTTCAGTTTTGCGGAGACTTGTTGGAGGATGCAGACTCTTCTGTCCACTTCAGTGGTGAGGGATATGATGATCATGCAGGCTCTGTTAGTAAAGATGACTCGCAAACTTTGGAGATATCACAGGCCCCAAGGCCATATTATTACAAACGAAAACATAACTTGAAGGATGGTATGTGTTCTGGCAAAAAGGAAAAATGGGATTCTATAGAGGAAGAAGTAGGAGCTACTGATGGGAAAATGGTTTCACCATCTTCTGCAAAGAGACGAAAGGGCCCTAATCATTTTAAAGATGAATCAGCTCCATCGGAAGGGGTAAAAACTATATCTCTTGCAAAAATCTCAAATACTACACCAAATTCTGTTTCTAAGCCTTCATTTAAGATTGGTGAATGCATCCGTCGAGCTGCTAGTCAAATGACTGGATCTCCCTCTATGCTGAAGTCAAACAGCCAGAAGTTTGATGGAAGCAGTGATGTATATGACAGCCCCCTGCTGCAGCAGTCTGATGATACTGAAAACTACAGAATGGCGTCTCCAATGGACACTCACTCAACTCTAGACGAGTTGCTATTACAACTTCAATCAGCAGCACGAGATCCCCTGCAAAGGCTTGGTTGCTTGGATGTCTTTGTTGGCTTCTTCTCTGATTTCAGGAAATCTGTGGTTGTTATTGATCAGCATGATCAACCTGGTAAGCGGAGGAAGGTGTTACATTCTGTGGGTGATACCGAAGCATTTGAATTCGTGGACATGAATGACACTTATTGGACCGACAGGGTTATTCAAAATGGGTCGGAAGAGCAGCCACCGCCTACTACTCGAAAGAGCAGGAAAAGAGAGAATCTTTTTGTACCAGTCAGTCTCGATAATAAGCCAACTCAGAGATCAAATGTCAGGAACAAACGATATATCTCTGATGGTAATGATCACAACAACGTGCCCCCAGATAAAAACCCAATCGGTTATGTGGATGAAAAGGCACCGGCAGAGCTTGTGATGCATTTCCCGGTTGTAGATTCTGTACCTTCTGAGATGAAACTGAACAAGATGTTCAAGTCTTTTGGACCTCTCAAAGAATCGGAGACGGAAGTTGATAGACACACTAACCGTGCCAGGGTGGTTTTCAAACACTGTTCTGATGCACAGACTGCCTATGGCAGTGCTTCAAAGTTCAACATTTTTGGGTCGTTGCTTGTTAATTACCAGCTCAACTATACCATATCCGTGCCATTCAAATCCGAGCCACTTTCTATAACACTTGGCGAGGAAGATGCAACTGTTTTCTTCCAGTTTTGAAGAGGCTGGACAAGGCAACAAACATCCAGGTAAAATTATGAATGGAATCTTCTTTTAGTACGTGCGACATAGAGCTGCTACGCCCCGCGTACTAGTTGGAATCTTCTTTAGTACGTGCTACATATTACAGCTGGTAGTTCGTTCATGAGTGATGTCTCAAAGTTGCGGGAGTATAGTTAAATGCGATAGTGACATATTATTTCACCTTGCATGGTCTCTTGCTTGAGGTTTTCAATTGACATGTTGATTTGTGTTGCAGATGCTATTGGCACACACGAGTTGGCACATGCACTTGCAACCAATTAGAGAGGGAGATGGAGAGAGCTGTTGAGAAGCTGGCTGGCAAGCCAATGTTAATGGCTTGACGAATGACCTCGCGTTGTGCAGAAATTTCACTGGCATCTGTTTAAAATGCTTGCCATAGTTGTAGATTCTGTGTAGCATCATCTTTTCTCTCTGTAGTGTTGATATGGATATGGATGGTGAGCCAAAGAAGGTAGAGCGTGGAGTAAAATGAAGATATCTTTGCCTCAATCTATCGTATAAATATACGGGATCACATTGATATCATGCCTCTCTTGAGGTGTCAAAATGATGTTGTTCTGAACTAGCAGTGTCCATGGTCATCTTGTGGTTGAGAATTGAGATTGGATCTTAGAATACCATGATCTTCTGATCTAGTGAAACATGGCGGGTCTTGCTTCAGCCTACCTCGATGGTTGGCACTGGGCATGTCTACTGGTCTGCACTCCGCTTGTATCTCGTTGTATGTTAGAGGAGTGGAATCGAGGAGTTTTTCCGTAGCGAAGAGGTGTCTCGGCGTTGTTGTAGCTTGCAGGGTCGGCTGATGTTCGCTTTCGATCTTTCGGAGCAAAGCATGTTTTCAGGGGATTCGAAACTTGTATCGTTTACTTGACGCATGAAAGTAGTTTAATTTCTCTCGACCGTTGCAAGTAATCTAACAATGAAACATAAATGCACAAAAAGGAATTCATGATTCTTCATGAAGAGCAAGTTAGCATGCGAGAACTAGAAGAGCAAAAAATTCAAACAGCCCAAAACGGCAGCGAGAGAGGCGCGTGGATATTTGGGGATTGGGAATGGCGGGAGGGATTAGGATTAGCAGTTACGAATCGCTTTTAAAAAAATTCTCCCCGAAAAGTTAGAGAGAGAGAGAGATGATGGGCGGCCGCTCCTCCGCCTCCGCCCCGCTCCGACGAGGATGGAATCGGAATTAATTTTTCAATTATAGCATCACCATAACTGTCCGTTTTTCAGATTTCAAAATTGAAAATTCCGATTCTCTTCGATCATCCACAAATAGCATCCTCATTTCCTTCGTTAATCTGCCCTCACTCACTTTCACTCTCTCCTCCCCAGTTCGCCGCCGATGTCCTCCGCCGCACCCACCGTGGAATTCCCCGAATTCCAATTCTCCGCAGGCGAGTTCCTCTCTCTCCTCTTTTCTTTTCCCGGCGAAACTTGGAATTTGAGTGCTCAAGTATTTCTGCACTTTTATGACTGTCAGCGCTAGCGGATATGAATTATGGATTCTTTCTTGTTCTTGCGTTTCGATTTTGGATTCCTCAATACGTGCTCGATTCCACCACAATCATGGGGTTTGATCGGAAGAATTGGGCATCCGCATTGAAATTTGGGCGCTCCGATTCCCCTTTCAGAAGAGTTCTTGGTGTCGTTTAGGTTATTGATGTTGATGTTTGTTTTTGGCAGAAGGATCAGAGATTCGGAAGAAGATAGACTTCAAGTTGAGCGACGAGCCCATTCCCTGCGATTTGCGCCACAGTTTGGCATGGGACACCGCCTTCTCTACTAGTCCAGGTATGCTTCTTTTTTCCTCTTTACAGAGAGAATGAATCACTGATTGATTGAATTTCTTCAAACATTAAAGTTCGATGCTTTTTTCATCATGCAATGCAATGGATGCTCAGGGATATTGGATATGGACGAGTTATTTGAGACTCTCAACACTCGGGCCGCCATTGATCATCACAAGGACAAGAAACCATCATCAGTTTCCGCTGCTGCTACACGCTATGATACTCGTCAGAGTCTGGCCTGGGATAGCGCCTTCTTTACCAGTGCAGGTAAACATTTGCTCCCCTGTGTAATCAGTTTCGAACACCCTACCAATGCTTGGTGATTATGACATGCTGATACTGCCGGCAATTATTGTGTTCAGGAGTTCTAGATGTGGAGGAACTGTCTATGGTGAACAAAGGGTTCAGGAACTCGGTTGCGAAATCTGAACCTGAAACCTGGAGGTCCATTGAGTCCAACTCTACAGCAAACAGTGATGGGAGCTCACTTGCCAGCCTTGAGATTGACCTTTTCAGTGACACCAAAGGTGCAGTCAGTCAACACCACGTTGGAGGTTCCTTGTCTGTTAAGCCAAAGGGAGTGCAAGAAGGAAATGGTGGGTCCTCGTCAGGGAAGCCGCCTAGGAGGAATTCCACACTATCAGCTCAGAGTAAAAGAGCTTCCTTGATGGGCAGCCATGGAAGGAGTAAAGGTAAATTACCCGCCTTTAACAAACAGCTGCTGGAACCTGACTGTTGTTGGGTTTGACTGCTCTGTGTGCTAATCTTTATTCTTGCAGGGAAGACGAGTGCAGTGAAATCATCAACACCCTCGAGATCACCATCTTCAGTTCTGCCAGCTACTACCAGAAATGGATCATCTGCACAAGTCATGAGAACTCCCCCGGGGAGTTCCAGAAGAACTGTGGTGCCCCGCCTGGCAGCTTCAGTTCCCACCTCCAGAACTCCATTGAAATTTTTGGATGGAAGCAGAAAAGGATCACTGGGTTCTTCTTCTGCACACCTTTGCTCTTCTAGTTTTTCATCTACACCAAAGGTCTCCCCTGCTAGTTCCATTAGTGGATTGTCCTCCTCATCTGAACTATCCTTGAGATCAAGCAACCAGAGACATCACGTTTCTCCGGTTAAAGCTTGTTTCGCAAGTGCAAGTCCAAGACGAAGCTCCACAGCTCTCCGGGCTATGAAAAGGTTTACAGGAGGAGGTGCAACTCCAAAGGGCTTGCAAGGTTCTGGCCTCAAAATGCCATCGCCAAAGCTTGGATACTTTGATTCAGTGAGTGATCCTTTCCTCCTCACTTTGCTTGATCCTCTTCTATCAATCTCATCTATAACCTTTTTTTATAGGAAAATCCTAGTGGTTCAGCACTAAGGAGAGGGAACCTTAAGTCCAACTCTCATGGACAAACCAGAACTCCACCTGCAACCACCACCAGCAGTAGCAGAACAAGCCTGGGGAAGCACCATTTGAGTGAGATTGTGGCCTTGTCTCTAGATAGCAAAATCGGCAGTAGCCATGAACGGTGGCAGGAATCCTTCAACAACAACGCTAATATAAAGAAGAAGAGATGCCTGAAGGAAGATAGGGAAAACTCGAAGGTGGCGGCCGGAGCTAGACAAGGAAAAGGAAGCAATTGCAGCTGCAACAAGAGGCCTGGAACTAACAAGGAGAATAGTATAGGAGTAGCAGCTAGTTTGGACAGTCAGGTTGATGACCTTAGCAGGCATCTTAAAGCCATTCATTTCAACAGGGGATTTTCCCCAGTTTGGAAGTAGCGGCCCAGATTCATGACAGGGGCTTAAAATTCCTTGTTTCCCCCCTTTTGCTTCTCCTTTTTCGGTTTGTTTGTAGCTGTTGACCGATAGCTAGTCGGATTATGAACATTTCTCCATGAATGGGTGAATGACGGATCGTTCGATAGAACTGTGTCTGTTTCACTGGATTCTATTCTCTCTCAGTTAACATCAAGGAGTTAAATCATAAAGGAACCGTTCGATGGTTGAACAAACGGAGATTTGCATCCTAGAAGGAGAAAAACTGTACCATTGTAGCAACTAACCGTACAAAATTATCAAAATACAGTAGTATGAAACACTAAAAACCTGAAACAACATCCAAAGTTGCACCAAAACAACATACAGGGGAAATAGAAGACGGCAGAAAAGCCAAGAACTCAACAGATCTCTTTCTCTTTAAGCCTTCTTCTGCTGCTGCTGCTATCCCACCAGTACATAAATGGCGTATACTATACCAGGAATGTATCCAAGCAGTGTCAACAACAAGGCTATCCAGAATTCCACCTGCCATTTATGTTTTGCCCTTCAATCTATTAGGAAAAGGAAAGGAACAAAAGGGAGGGGATTGGATTTGAATGATCAGCAACTTACCCCACAGCCATATCGAAGAAACACACCAACCGGTGGCAAGAGAATAGCCAATATCACCTCTAGGAATGTCTCTGAACCCATTTTCCCCCCGCAACTCTTTCTCTTCCTTCAGGAGGCAGCTAAATTTGCACTTGTTGGCGTATAGAAAGGAATAGAGGCAAAGAATGATCCAGGGCAGGTGTTCAAAGGAATGAAGAAGGGACGGTGGAAAGGTGTCGCAGTGGCAGTTTCCGCAGCTGCCACGTCTGTGCGATTTGTTGGCCACGTGTGATGTTCTCAACGCGAAGTTTTATCTAGTAGAACACTCATAAAACTAACAAGACAAGGAATCCATGAACCCCAGCGGTGGGTTAAGGTTGTCCTCATCCGTAAATCCGGATGGCGTTTGGATTTTGTTTCATCAGAAAACCAACCCACCAGTCTCGGCTTCACTAGTCCGTTGACGGACGGATGAACAGCCACAACAGGAACTACCAAAAGGGGTGAAACTTGAGAGACACTGAAGTCCAGTGAAGATGCTATCTTTTTTTTTTTTTTTTTTTCTCCAGGTGAAAAAAAAAACTGGTAAATTTGCAGTAACTAATTGCAGGAGCTAATCAGAATACATGATCATAATTCACATTGCACAATATTATTCCTGATGAACAAACAAAACAAGACTGGACATTATATTGATTGGTTCACATTGTAAAACTGTGTGTTCACTATCAGAGGGAGAACCCAGATTCTTGAGAAGCAAATGACAAGAGAAGGAGGAGAAGGCAGGCAATCTAAGCCTGGTACACCTCAGGAAGCTGAAGGCCGACACTAGCTGCAGACTTCCCTAGGACTTTCTTCATCTCATTTGTTCTATCCACCGCGATGTTGTACGAAATCAGCAGATCCTGCAATCAATCAAATCAAATCAACTAACTTCTTTGTTAACATTGAAGAATCCAACAGAAGCAAAACATCAAGAGGAACGAAATGTGAGATAGAGACCTTGTGATGGTGGACACTGTTGAGTAGGCAAGTGTAATCTCGGGCAAGCTTCATCTTCTGCTGAATACAGGATTGATCTGTTGAACGATTAGAGCTGTTTCTGAACTCTTGTGCCACAAATTCCGAAAAGTGACTCTTGTACCCTTCCTTCCCAATGTTCTTTCGGATGGATCTCAGAAGGTCGCGATACACCTTTGCAGCTTGAAGCGTTCTTGAACTCATTTTCTCCCTGGGAGCAAACACTGCAACCAATTCATAACCGCACAAAACCTAGATTCAGCTTGGCTATGGAGTTGGTCAACCTGCAAATTAAGCTAGAGCTACTACAATTCGTATCCTCTCCAAGTCAATATCTGCAGCCAATCCAAATACCCCCCATGGATTCACACAAACCCAGTGCCTAGATTAACTAGAAGATTGATAGAAAGAATGAGGATCTGGAATAAAGAACCCATCTTTTGGTAGAAAGAAACTCCACGACAAGCTTCACAGGCGAATTATGAAAAGAAAAAGCTTTCAAGAGGAACAAGCAAGAGTAACCTGAAAATCTAACCAATCGTCGGGAAAGGAGCGGACCTCTCGACGGCGGCCGGCGGCGGAAGAGAAAGCGGTGGCTTTGGTGTGCGACTGGCTGAGCCACAGAGCAGAATGAATGAAGGTCTCATTGAAGGCGGCGACAGAGAGGAGCCATAATGGGCCAGGCCCAATCATGTTTGGCTGGGGCCTCGATTTGTCCAAATTATTGAAGCCCATGTATTCGACATGGCCTGCAATCCAGAACGACGTCGCTTAGATGTTTGAAAAAGCTCCCAATTTCCTGTTTTTCTCGTTTTCAGCTTCGTCTTCGCGGAAACAGATCTCTTCCTTGTCTTCTCCCTCGGCATTGGAAAATTTGAAGAAGGAAAGAAGAAAAGGGGAAGAAAGCATCAAGAGGCTAAGAGCTGCAGATGTCGCGCGAAAGACTCAGAAGGGCCGCTCTCCCTCCTGTCCAAGAGGTTAGAAAAGCCTTCCATAGTTTTCATCAACTCGGTTTGTTGGCTGAGAAACATGGGGAAAAAATAGAGAATCCGAGAAAAATCCCCTCTTAGTAATCTCCAACATTTTAATTGCGAGGTTTCCATTATTTTTATGATCCATTGAGAATGTTATCCGATGGTACTCTTGGAATTCCGATTAGCTCCAGATTAGAGCATTGGAGACATAATTCTTTGATTCTGTTGTATTGGAGTTTTCGTTGTTGGGGAATTAGTGTAGGGAATCGAGTTTGAATCAGGGGAAGCAAGGTTAACTGAAGTTGTTAAATAATGGCTGGAGAATATGGCTTCTGAATTCTGATTAGGCTTGCAATTGGGTTACAGTTCTAACGTGAGAAAGGTATATCTTTTAACCTCTTTTTTTGTCACTAATTTGCAGAATATCGATAAATTGGAGAAGGTGATAAAGGATGGTAACTGTTATGGAGCACAACAGATGTACAAGTCTATCAGTGCAAGGTATGGTCAGCCATGTTTCTCTTGTAGATTAACATATGTTGTACTAGCTTGGTGAACAATTTCTCAATCATTCAGTGATGAAGTTGAAACTTAGCCATTTGTTTTTCAGCTGCAGTATTCCAATGTGGCGAGACTATGATGTTAGTTGTTAGTTACTTACTGTCAAGGTTTTTGCTGATGAAGAGAGTCCCTTCGCTGCAGATATACTTCTGTTCAGAGATTTTCTGAAGCTTTGGATCTTCTTCACTCGGGAGCATGCCTTCAATTGGAAAAGAACCAGGTTATCTTCTTTCAAGTGTAGATTTGTACCCCCTCTTCTGGCCAGCTTTACATATGAATAGCTAGAAGATGAGGAATTTTATAAGCCGGGGATTTCTGACCCGCTGGACCTGTTATGACGGTGGATACTGTTTAATGTTGAGCTTGATGTTTACTTGAAATATTGGAATGTATGTGGAATCCATCAAATATAATATAAGCTTTGAGCGGGATTAGTTTCAATGAGAGTTCCACATTTTATGTTTGCTCATCCTAGCTCGGTATGATAGCATAAAAACTGTGAATTAGATGGATAATCTTGGTTACTAGGTTTGACTCTGTGGAACTGTAAGCTGGTGGTTTTACATGATACTATCCTTTTTGTTCCATTCTTTATTTGTTTTTTGGTGGGGGATTAGATGTGTCACATTGCTTTGCGGGGCAGATTGATTGAACTACTGGTGTCATGTAATGGGTCAAATTATTACAGACATGAAATTCTCGATGAAGCAATGCATTATGCTTTATTAGCTTGTTCTAATGCTTGTGGAAATAAAATATTTTCAGGTTACTTGTGGCTCGGAGCTTGCTGTAATGTTTGTGGAAACACTTGTTAAAGCAAAGGTCCCCTATGATGATGATAACCTTGGTAACTGGATACCTTATTAGCTTTTTCTTGATCCCCTAGTAAATGATTTTAGATCTCATTTGGTAGATCTCTTATGTAACATTATCTTAGATCGTGTCAGGACAATCTACAAACTATTTCCTCAGATTCCTGTGCCACAACACCTAGGTGAGGAGGATGATGTTCACCAACTCGCTGAAGCGCTTGCAGCTGCGAAAACACGAGTAGAGTGCTGCTCGTCGTTCTTGAGAGCTGCAATAAGGTGAGATTTTGGAACCTCTCTTATATATTGAATGAACCCCCATCCTTAATATTTATGGACTCATTTTACCACTAAAAAACGGAAGAGCAAACTTTTGGCTACCTTGATGCTTTTCAGTGGACCATATTGTAATGGCATCTCACTCTATTCTTTGCGTCTTTTACACATGGTGTTTTCCTCTATCTGTTTAACCTGGGTTATTGGATAATCAGTTCAATATTTGTTCATGAACTGTATGAGTTCTCCAGTGTTCCATTTGTTAGACCTTTAAGCAAAATCCTGATGGGGTAGTTGTTGTCATAGACATAGAGTGTTGTTTGGGTGCATTGCAGTTGTTTAACTGTTTAGGTGGGAAGGATAAACCTGTCTGGAAATTTAGCAGAGGGCGACAAAATGAAAACTAAACTAATCACGGCTAAACTCATCTCTGTTTTATGTAGTTCTATGAAGTAGGCTTCTAGGTGCTTGAGGATGAGAACAGTGAGTTGATGGGGAAGACTGATAGATAGGTGTTGATGTATGTGCCTGGTGTTTGCATCTATACTTATGTGACTATATTTGGTGTTCTGAGTGTTGTATTCTTTTTATTGTGGTTTCTTACTGAAACAGATGGTCTGCTGAAGCTTCTATGTTTTGCCTTTTTCAGGTGGTCTGCTGAGTTTGGACCCCATAGGAGTGGAAGCCCACAACTACATGTCATGCTAGCTGAATACTTGTATTCCGAGTCTCCTGAACTGGTATTTAAGACAACGACACTTGGGACTGAGCTTTATCTTATACGTCTGTTTGATCCAATTGGTTAGCATCTGTTTGATTTAATAGCCAACTACATCCTTCCAAGTTCTATTTGATGTTTACTTTATATTTCTACATTTGCAAATCTACCCCTTTCGCTTATATAAAACTCCAAAAGTTTATGGGATTGTTTTTCTTATTCCACACAACTCATATATTTTGACAATTTTAATATGCCCCATAGTAGTGGGACGGCTTAATAATTTCACAATCATTCACTTCCTTTTATAAATGTTTCTCGCACACTTCCACTTCAAGTATTTGCTCCTGTTGATGACCTATCCATTAAGCCTCCTACCGACTGAATCAGTTAGAATAGTTTTTTTTTTTTTTTGTTTTATTACTTACTAGCAAATATGATTCATGATGCTATTCCCTCTAATCCTTTGTAAATCTGTTTTTGTTAAAGCATGAATGCTTGGATAGACTTCTTTGAAAAGTACTGTTACAAATGTAGATTCATGATTTTTGTCCTTGTTTAGAGATTTGGTTTTGTAGGTGCGAGACGTAGAATATTTTTGTAATTTTGATTTGGTCTGTCTAGTATGGACTCATTTCTGCTCTTCTTTTCTTGGTTTCTCCTCACTTGCTATGCTAGGCCTAACGCTACATTACCTTTTTCCAGGACATGGCAAAAATAACACTTCATTTTGTGCGAGGTGACGATCCTAAAAAGTTTGCATCGACCTTAGTCAGTTTTATGGGCAAGGTTAGTCGATTCAAATTAAAGACTTAAAAAGCTTCATTTGAACCAAGTGCCAAGAGTTGAGATCCAGCTCCCTCTAAGAGTTATTTTCTATCTGTTGGATGATGTTTGTCACGAGTTCCACCATTTTGATTCTGATTATGCAGTGTTACCCTGGTGAAGATGATCTGGCAATTGCAAGGGCCGTTCTAATGTATGCATGCCTCACATCTTGGACATTTTTCATGCTTTCATAATGTCTTTTTAAGTGTTCGAGAAGACAGTCAGCTGATCCATGTCTGGCTCCCTTTCATGCAGGTATTTATCTGTGGGCAACATGAGGGATGCTAATTTTTTGCTGGGTGAAGTAAAGCAGCAGGTGGAAGCTAAGAAACTTGAATTCCCACAAACAGATTTGATCTACTTCATTTCTTATCTTTTACAGACGTGAGTTTTCTTCTTTTAGTACCAAGGAAATCGTTTCACACATCTGCATCGCTCTCGTCTAGTTTGACACAATTTGGTATAATGGAAACTAAAAACTGGATATGGCACGATTCTATTCCAGGTTGCAGAGAGACGCGTACCCACTTTTTAGTATGTTGAGATCCAGTTACAAGCAGAGCATAGACAGAGAACCTGCATTTAACGAGGTCTGCGTTTTTGCCCTTTTACCTGTTTGAATATCAATATATCATATTTCTTCCTGAATCTTGTAAAGCAATTCGCCCTCTTCTTGGATGGTTTTCCAGTGGCTTGACGATATAGGGGAGGTCTTCTACGGTGTACAGCGTAGAAATCCCCTGCAAGGAATGTTCGGAGACATCTTCAAGGTAAAATTTTGTTATCCTCTTCATTTTCCGATTGCAGCATTTCAACAGAATGGACACTTGCTCACGGTTTCTTGTTCGACTTTTTTTTTTTATATACAGATGATGTGAGGATGGGTTCTGCCCCTTGCATATTAAAGTCTCTCTTCCATTGTTGTTTTTTCAGAGGGGAGCCACCCCAATCCAATCTGGCTATTCTTCTTTCTTTCATTTAGCCTTCTTCAAAGGCTGTTTTGTATTTACGAAGGGCTCCCTCCAAGTTGTAAGTTTGTAGCATCCTTCCTTTGAATTTGCTTTTCTTTCCTTTTTATGGACTGGAGGGTCTCTTGCATTTCGATTCTGATACGTAGCTTGTATTCTGTTCGTCATAAATTATTCAAACGAAAACCGCCTTCTTACCTCTAATTTCCCTCCGGCTACTCTCCTGTACACTCTTGCTGTAAAAATTGTTGCCTTGAGCAATGACATTTTATTTGGTTGAAGAGGTCTTTCTTTACATTGAGTTGAGTACAAAGGGAAAGCCATTATGCGTTTATGCTATGAGTTGTACAGAAGGAGAGGAGAGTTGCTTGCGACGCAGGCTACTCACTTCCTCTCAATCGCGGCGAAAACCACCCCATTTTCCTTGCTGAAGTTCTTGGTTGTATGGTCAACCATCTGCTCCAAACATACAATCCTGGATCATTGCCATGAAAATTGGATTCAAAATCTAGCTATTTACATTGATGTCAGGGTGATCAATGCGGGCTGACATTGTTAACGTGCATTTTTAGTGTCGCTTAATTACATATTTTAGAAATCCAATGGATTCTAATTCTAGAGTGGCACGTTCCCATATAGACTAGGCCCAACAATTTTTTTATAGACCAGGCCCAACTATTGGTCATTCGTGGGAGCCCAATTATATAATCTGTCTGGGTTGGCCCACTACCGGGCGACATCTTCCTTCTCCGTCAGTTACCTGGCGATTCTCTTTCGCTCCAAACATCTCTGTCTGCTTTGTTCTTTGCCGATTAAATTCGACGGCCGCCACTCTGTTAAATCCCCAAAACTTCCCGGCGACGGCAATATGGAACGTGGGGCACCACCGGCGACGTTAGCGACGCCACAGCTCGTCGAAGTTCTGACGAAGATCCTGACCACAGAGAAAGAGCCACTCCAGAAGCTAAGCTCCTACATCCCTCATTTCTCCGCCAACTCCAATCTTCTCGTGTCGCTCCTTTCGTCAAACACCTTGGCGCGAATGCCGACCACTCTACTCTCCTTGCTCAAGTGGTCTCAGGCGCATCTGCCGGAGACACTAAGCCGATCTCCGCTCCCTCTCCTCGTCGTGATTTCTTCACTCGTCGCGCACCACAAGTTCGTCGACGCCAAAACCCTAATGACCTCGTTCATCGCCTCCGATAAGTTGAATTCGCTTCACTACCACATCCTCCACCCCGATAGTAGGACTCGAGTCACGCGGGGTGTTTATGATTTGTCCATTGGAGCTTATGTTGTAGCTGGTCGGCCTCACGATGCCGCCAATATCTTTAGGAAGATGAAGAGGTTCGGGCTCAAGCCGAATGTGCTCACTTGCAACACTTTGTTGAATGGTTTGGTGAAGTATCCTTCTGTGCATGCTGTTTCTTTGTCCAAGGATGTTCTGGAAGATGTGATCGGCCTGGGCGTCAAGGTAAACTCCAACACTTTCAACATTGTGATAAAGGGTTGCTGTTTAGAGAGCAAGTTCGAGGAGGCATTGGAGCTTGTGGATAGAATGGGGCAGCATGGTTGTTCACCTGACAATGTCACGTATAATACGATACTGGATGGAATGTGCAAGAAAGGGAAGTTAAATGAGGCTAGGGATTTGCTGCTGGACATGAAAAACAGAGGTTTGCGTCCTAACGTGAATACATTTAACATTCTGATATCTGGGTATTGCAAACTGGGGCGGTTGAAGGAGGCGTCGCAAATGATTGACTTGATGACGATGAGTAAAGTCTCTGCAGATATGTGGTCGTATAATATGTTGATTGATGGGCTTTGTAAAGCGGGCAGGATCAGCGAGGCATTTCGGTTAAGGGACGAGATCGAGAAGCTTGAGTTTTCACCTGATGTGGTTACTTATAACACCTTGATTGATGGGTGTTTCAAGTTCGGGAGTGGTGAAGAAGCGGTTCGTTTAGTTGAAGAAATGGAAGGGAAGGGACTGAAGCCAAATGCTGTGACGCATAACATAAGGGTTAAATGGTTTGTGAAGGAAGGGAAGATGGATGAAGCAGCAAATGCTGTCAGGAAGATGGAGGAATGTGGGTTTTCTCCAGATTGCATTACTTACAATACTCTTATAGATGGATACTGCAAAGCAGGCAAGATGGATGAAGCATTCAGTGTATTGCATGATATGGAAAAGAAACAACCGAAGCTGGATAACGTCGCCCTTAACACAATTCTTCACACCCTTTGTCAGGATAAGAAACTTGATCAGGCATATGATCTGCTTTCCATTGCTAGTAGGCGAGGTTACTTTGTCGATGAGGTTAGTTATGGCACTCTTATAAGTGGATATTCTAAGCACGAGCAGCTTGCTAGAGCTTTAGATCTTTGGGACGAGATGAAGGAGAAAAAGATTATTCCAAGCATCATCACCTATAACTCCATGATAGCTGGGTTGTCTCGCTCTGGGAAAACTGATCAAGCAATAGATTTATTGAATGAGTTACTAGGAAATGGTTTGTCTCCAGACGAAATTACTTACAATACCATTATTCATGGATACTGCTGGGAAGGGCAAATCGAGAAGGCCTTTCGGTTTCATAACCAAATGGTTGAGAATTCTTTCAAGCCTGATGTGTTCACCTGTAATATTCTTCTCTATGGTCTTTGCACTGGAGGTATGCTTGACAAGGCTCTTAAACTTTTCCATACGTGGATTTCAAAAGGGAAGCAAGTTGACCTGGTGACCTATAACACCATTATATCAAGCCTGTGTAGAGAAAGGAGATTGGAGGAAGCAACTGCTCTTTATGCAGAGATGAAAGAAAAGGGACTGAATCCTGATAGATATACATATAATGCCATCTTGAAAGCTCTAACTGATGCAGGTAAGGTTGGTGATATTGAGGATTTCATTCTAAATGAGGTTGAGAAGGGTGATTCAGAATCTCAATCCATACAAATGGACGGGAGACAAGATGAGGGTACCTGTACAACTTGTCCAGAAACTGATGAAAGTTCCATTGCTTATTCTGAGAAGATAAGTCAATTATGTGCTCAAGGAAAATACAAGGATGCCGTTCGACATGTTCATGAATCTAGAGACAACGGTATAACCTTACAGGCATCAACCTATGTCAATTTAATGACCGGACTTATCAGAAGACGGAAAAGAACATCAAAGGCAGCATCATTGTAGTGGATCATGATTGGCTGTGTTCTGCAGTGCTATGCTGGATCATTGAATTTTTCATTGAAGCCAAGAAATGGAATGGTAAGTAATTTTCTAATGATTAGCAACATCCTTCATCCTCACAATGTTCTATTATTAGTAGATAGGTTTTTTCTTCATGAAGTACTTATCAGGAAATAGGTATTAGGGTTGATGAATCATGCGAGTCTTCCCATAGTCATGGGCTAGGATTGACTTCTTTGGAATAAACTATTGCACATGCAAATTCATATTTGTGTTGCGCTCTGTCTAGTATTGAATCATGTAATTCTGTTTTTCCTTACTTGGTTTCTCCTCACTCAAGAAGGGTTAGTACATCCTTTCGTCCCCAGGACTTTATAAAATTAACTCCAATTTTTTGTGGCAGGCGACCACCGGAAGAAGTTTGCATCTATTTTTGCCAGCTTTACGGGCAAGGTTTGTCGATTCAAATAAAAGAGTTGATAATCGTATATGTGCATACAAAAAGTTCTTTTCCTGCCGCCAAGTTTAAGAGTTCTTCGATAATGTTTTCCCAGGTTTCAACTCTTTTGATTCCGATTATGCAGTGTTACCCTGGTGAAGCCGATCTGGCAATTGCAAGGACGGGGTTCTGATGCATGCATTCCTCACATTTTGGACAATTTTCAGGCCCTCGTGTTGTGTTGTTAGATGCTTTCCTGTCAAGGCAAGGAAAACAATTATTGCTATTAGATGCTTTACATGACAGTCACAGCTAATAAGTAAAGTATCCTACTGGTTGCAGGTGCTTATCCATGGGAGTAACAGGTTAAAACCTAAGTAACTCGAGTTCCTACAATTAGATTTTATCCTCTTCATCACTTATATTTGACCAACGTAAGTTTACACCATTAATCATACCATAGCGTTGTTTTAGTTTCAATTTGACGCATATTTATCTGCGTCGCTCTCATATGTTTCGACAAATTCCAAGCTGATTGATTGTATTTGGTTCTGAAAAGAACTCGATCGATATGGCAACTTGCAGGTTGCAGAGAGATGCATACCCCCTTCTTAAGTATATGTTACAAGCCTAGCATAGACAGTGAACCAGTTACAAGCCGCAGCACATTAGAAAGAAGCAATCTGCCATGAATACTAAAATAGGAAGCAAGGCAGAACAGACATGGAAGGAGGTACAAATTCTATTGTAGGTGAAAATTATGACTACTGATTTGTCTCAATGTATACTTTTCCCACATGTAGTTGAACTTTTTACAACTTTTTGTTTATGCAGAAGACTCTGTTCTGACTATCGAACTCAGGAGTGGAAGCAAGAAAGAAATACTGAATCAAAGATGGGTAGCCAGTAAACCTTCTAATTTCTTGCACAAATTGAAAGATTGAAAGGGAGAAGAATTGTTTTTTTTTTTGTTTGTTTGTTTTGTATTATCAATTTGTCCCCTAAATGAGTCAGTCATTCTACTTAATTGTCTTTGCCACGCATTAGAATCTTCCATTCTTTGGAGAAAAGGTCTACGGTATGTATGTGAATTATAGTTCCAGCACTTGCCAATCGCGGCTAGCTATAAATAATAACAGGATATTAATTAATTATAAGTTTTCCAGGAAAATGAGGACACAAAATAGATAGCCCTATCTTTCAAATGTTTGACATTTATCATCACTTCTAGATAAGGATGGCGATTTATAATTGGTAATGGAGTAATTGGGTGTGTGAGACTAAATTTAAATTCCAAACTGAACCAAATTAATACAACCAAGAAAAAATGAAAATGAATTGTTGCCCATGTCATTAAAACCAGTTGGATGGATAGATCTTAATAACCTCCTTAATTACGCGTTTCCTCAAATGAAAATCAATTCATTGGTTTGAAGTATACACATGCATGACATATCATGTGTTTTAACACAACGGTTTAATATTGGGTTGTGAGAACTTGAATATATGTGACCTCAAGGACAAACTAGACGTTGATACTATGTCATGAACCAATTGGTCTCAATGACTTGAATTATTCAAAGATATCTATATATGAATGTTAATGTTACCCAACTTGGTGAATTAATACAAAAATCATAAAACTCCTTTACAAGAATATGGCTGAAAACTCATCTTGTTTATAGATAGATGTTGGATAGATAATTCGCGTGTAATATTTGTATGGTACTTGTGTATATAGTTTGTACGTATTTTAGATCTTAGATAGTAAGTTTAGACAATTTAAATGTTCATAGACGTCACTGGACTGTCATACAACTAGGGGTGTCAGTTCGGGTCGGGTTCGGTTACCCAAACCGAAACCCGAAAAAACCCAAAAACCCGAAACCGAAAATCACTAAAATCGAACCCGAACCCGATAAGGACTTGCGGGTTCCGGTTATCCGAAACCCGAAAATTCCTTATTAGGTTCGGGTTCGGTTAAAGCAAAACCAAAACCCGAAGACCCGAACGCCTAAAAATACGGGCTGAGTTCTATTCATTGGAGGTTTTTAGCCGAAACCCGAAAAACTGATAAGCAAAACCGAACCCAAACCCGAAATGAACCCGAACCCGAAAAACCGAAAAATGTATATAATTGGGTCGGTTTCGGGTAAACCCAAAAAACCGAACCCGAATGGACACCCCTACATCCAACTCAAGATGTAGATGTTGCACAACCCAATAACAATAATCATTTGGGCCATGACTAGGACTGTCATATTGGTTTTGATTTTAACCGAAACCAAAAACTGGTAAGAAGGTTAATGATTTTGATTTTTGGTTTTAAACCATGTAACTTCTTCATGGTTTTATTTAAATCCTAAAACCAATAAAAACTGATCATAATTCAATAATTAAGTCAATAACCGACAACAACAAGTGTTATACCAACTTATGTTTAGCAGGTTTGTTTCCTTATCTTCATGTTTCTTGTTGTATTTTCTGACTCTATAACTCTTCCCAAATTATGTGTTTGTTTTTTTTTAATCCAAACCAATATAGTCAAAATCGCGTTTCAAAGTTTAAAAATTTACGCTTTTACGCTTCTAGGTCACCAAAACACATATGCGCAAACCAGGGTTGTCACGCCGGCCGGCGTGCCACCGGTTGTACCTGGTTCAACCTGTACCGGTCATAAAACCGGCGTGACACCACCGGTATGACCGCCATGATCGATATACGAATCTTTAAGTAAAATAACCTTATTTTAGTGACTTTAATTGTTAAAAATTATTTTATTATTTATTTTATGAGTATAAATGTTAAATATTTATGTTATTTGTTGGATTCAAGTATAAATGTTTAGGTATTGACGTTAAATGTCATGTTTAAAATGAGTATTTATAATTTTATTTGTAATATTGACCGGCATGAACCGGCACAAACCGGTATGTGCCACCGGTCGAACCATTCCACTTGCTAAACCGGCACACTGGCATAAACCGGTTTGACAACCTTGGCGCAAACTCTTAGTTTTATAACTAATGTAGTTAAAAATGCGTTTTAAAGCTAAAAGCTTATGGTTTTACGCTTCTAAATCACAAAAACGCTTCTACGTAGAAATATGCTTTTGACTACATTAATCCAAACCAAACCAAAACCATTGAGTGCCTTATCATTTAATGGTTAACCGGAAACCAATTAGACTTTTATCGGTTTTGATTTTTGGACTAGTTCAGTTTTTTATTTATTTTTAATACTTAATGTAATAGTTAACTAAACCAAACCAAACTGATAGCCCCAGCCAGGACCATGTTGATGCTGTACAACTTGGATGTAGGGTAAAAAAGACATTCAACTAGTATGTCTGGCTCATGATTTAGCTATCATTCTTCCTAGGAAAAAACCAGCACATACACCAACCATAGATAAGGTAAAAAATGACTTACGAAATCATTGCAAATCAAACCCTGCAAAGGAAAGTTACTAACCAAACCCTAGAAGTTTACTAACGCCTAATGACCCGACAATCATTATTAATTGACCCCCAAGCCAAAAGGTTACTATTGACGATTCCTCTATCATCAGAAATAACTATAAGTAATCCGTAAAGGAAAATTCTTAGCTCCAACTTGATTGCAGACAAAAGTTTCAACCAACCACTAAACTACATGTAAGTTTCTTATAAATGGGTTAATCTTTCTTTTTTAAATTTAATGCTTAATTGATTTAACATAATTAAGAAGATTAAATATTAAGAAAAGAAGAACAGTGATTCCATAAATAAGAAACTGACATGTGGCTGGTTGGTGTTTTTGCGTTCAACCAAGGTTAGAACCGAGAATTTTCCCTCCGCAAAATGCTTACCAACCACATTGAAAGCTTACCGATAATAATTAACTAATAATCGTTCTTTAAAAGGTTACTACCCTCGTAAAGTCCATACGTGTTTTTGGGGAGAACTAAAAGAAAATTCCGATACCACAACTCTTACATAAATAAAATAAAATTAAATAAATATTACACAAATAATCATCAAATAACCTGAATGAACTCCACGATGTTTTCAAAAGAAAACAAACATTGTCACTTTTATGATTATCTCGTGCTCTATATGAAAAATTATTTTGGGGGTTCCCTCAACACACATATAATTGTAAAATTGACCTTTTAACTACCTCCATGATGAGAGACAGACAACAAAAAGTAGCCACCTTCCTTTGTGTCTTCGTGTTTTGAGAAATGCAGACCATCTGCTTTCCTTCTTTATTATACCTTTTGCCCAATTAATTACACACCTTTAACTCCCTGTTCATCGACTTTTATAGCTGCTTGCTTATAATGCCAATATAGATATTAACCCCACAGAGTAAAAATATTCGACCCAGACCCAATAATATTATGATGACAAAAATATCCGTAATCGTGGATATCCACCGAATCTGACCTAATCAGGTAGGGTAAAACCCGAACCAGAAGCATTTTTCGTGACGAAAATATCCATAACCATGGATATCCACCAAATCCGACCTAGAATCATTATTTTTCTCTAGAATATTTTATATTTAGCATATAAATATAATATTTTGATGAAATTATGTTGTTTTAATTACTCTTCTTCAATCTAGTGAATTATTGTTGTACTTTTCCTCTTACGTAATGTGAGAATACGTGTGAATATTAACATATTGGTTGGAATTATAAGAAGAAATTATTACCCATGGATAACCGTGGATACTCAAAACCCTTTGATTTTCTACCCGGTACTCGTATAAGTATGGGTAAAACTCGAACTACATTGGTATCCACCCCGACCCGTTGTCATCCCTAAATGATATGTTTTTATCTCTGTGGACAGGTCAGAGTACATGTGGGCAAAACTCTGATAATTTAAATATGGATGATAATTAATTAAGTCGCTGCATGCAACCCATGGCAGCTCCTTGTACCACCTGCAGCTTCCATCTGGCACCATTTTTTCTTGTTCATTGGCCCAGTTTTTCGTTGCTCTAAAAATGGACTGATGTGAAAGTTGGGTGTAGACTATATTCTTATTATTGGCGTATATACAGATGTACTTGTTGTGTTGACTGTTGCATTTGCTGCCATTAGGGGATCGAAGGTGAGGGAGGTTGACATTAGTGTACACTTTGTGGAATTTTGCTTCTTATAACAAACTATATATCATGGGGAAATTACAAAGGTTTGATGAATAATAATATGTTTCAGCAGCAAAGAGAATCCACGCCCAATATCATACGTTCTTTACTAGAACATGATTGATAAGTTTGGCTTGTATGAAATTTTCATGATATTTGTGTACTATATTGGCTTTGTTCGCGGTACAAAGTTTTTGCAATATGAACAACAAGTACTACGAGATAAAGTTACTTTCGATGTTAGACAGTAGTGGCGGAGCTACCATAGTGGCAGGGGAGCCTATAGCCTCCTCAACTCTCAAAATCATGTAAAATTACATGTAAATTTTATAATAAATTGGCAAAATATAGTAGTGATAAGGTATTAGGCCCCTCGCCGGTTCGAATTCTCTGTGCTTAAATATTTAGCCCCCCTCATTCGAATTTCTGACTCCGCTACTGTTAGGCAGATAATCTTAAATGATGGAAGCATGTATATTTTTTTATAGAAAAATCCCGTATTATTTCATTAGTGGGAAATATTATAGGAATCAGAAATCAGCTGGTCCACAAGGAAAATGGATGGCCTGGAAGCCCAAATTTTAGTTTCATCCCATCTACGCTGAGTATGTGCCATGATGTGGGGCCACCCGATTGGATTCTTGGCCCAAAAACGTGATGGTCACTGATCCGCCTAGTTCCTCCAATCTGTCCTTCACCTCCTCGCATTCACCTCCTTCCTCCGTTAACAACATTTCTTCCGTTGCTATCTGCTGGTCTGCTCTCAGGCAATCGGATTCGATCTCTCCCGAGACAAACCCTTCCTCTAATGCCACTTCCCATCCAAATTTTATAGCTTGAATCTCTGCCAATTATGGAGTCCATTGAATCCTCGACCTTCTCACAACCGCAAAACAGAAAGATCCATTCCGATCTTGAACCACCACCCCCAAACCCGTCCCGAAATCTGCAAAAGTTGTTGCATCCACGTTGATCTTGTAGTTGTGACTTCCGACGGTTTCCAGCGAGGTGTTTGTCTGGGTTCGTGCTCAACCGTTGCATGTTGATAGTCAAGGTACTCCAGAAGCCATTGTTCTGTTTTCCCCAAAATTTTGAATTCTTCGACTTCTTCTTGTTCCACATCTGATTGTTGCGTTCTTCCCAGATAAACCAGAGGCCGACAAGAAATTGTCCAATATGCTCCGCGGATTCCGTCTCCTGAAGGCCAGTCATCCATTCTTCACACGTTAGATCATTTCCTTTCCCAAAACTTAGGTTTAGAGAACTAGGACGACCCTCCTACCCCATATGTAGTCGTAAAAAAGATGGTGTTTTGAGTCTCTGCTTGGCCACAAAATGGGCATTCATCACACCCTTTAGTTGTTCTTGCCAGCACATTTTCCCCAATTGGCAAAAAAAACTATCCATCTCCACGCAAATACCTTGACTCTAGGTGGGATTTGAAGCTTCCAAATCTGTTCCCAGTTAATTGAGGTATAAAGTTCCCCAATCTCTGCCTCGAGTCTGTCCCTTAATAGTCTGTAGGCTGATTTAACTGAGTATATTCCGGATTGTTCATAGCTCCAAATTCGTTGGTTGTCTAGGTATGGGGATTTTTAAAATCCTTTGTCTGTCTTGTGGAAGAAAATGAGCTTGGAGTGGTGCCTGATTCTAGGTTCTAGAATCTACATCTAGCAGATCGTTAACTAATGTAGTCGACGCAAAGGGGGACACAAGGGATATTACCTTAAAATTATGAGTTGTGGGAATCCACTTATCTTGCCAGATATCCACCTTATTTCCATTCCTAATTCGCCATCTCAATCCTTCCTTAACCAACCCTTTTGTAGCTAAGATGCTTCGCCAAATATAGCTAGGGTTATAACCCTCTTCCGCCTCTAGTATGTCTCTTGAGGGGTAATACTTTTCCTTCATAATCCTAGATACTACGGAATTTGAATTCTGTATAATATTCCAAATTTGCTTCTCTAAGAGAGCCAAGTTAAATACGTGCAAGTTCTGAAAACCAAAACACCTTTTCTTCTTTGTTCGACATAGGTCTTGCCAGCTAACCCAGTGAGTTCTGGGTTCTAAGTCTTTTTGCCCCCACCAGAAATTAGACACAATTCTCTGAATTTCTTGAGTCACTGAAATAGGAACCAGAAAAACCTGCATTGCATAGGTCATTTGTGCCTGTGCTACTGATTTAATCAACTCCTCTTTTCCCCCAAAAGAATGCAACTTTTCTTTCCATAGTTTCACCTTTCTTCGAACCCTGTCAACCAAGTAACTGAAAACTTCCTTCTTCCTTCAACCAATGACAGTAGGTAGCTCGAGATATTTTGTATGTGAGGGCACCACTTTCATACCAGGAATGGTTGCCAGCTCCTATCTCTTTTTTCCCCCACGTTAGGACTATAGGAAATTTCTGACTTGTCTAGATTTACCTTCTGACCTGATTCCTGCTCATAAGTATTGAGAATGGCTCTAAGTTGCTCACATTCTAATTTAGTGGCTTTGGCGAACATTACACTATCATCCGCAAATAACAGGTGGGTGATGTGGGGTGCTCCTCGTTTAACCTGATTCCTATCATCTTGCCCCTCCCTTATTCCTCCAGCTTCATCAAGCAGCCTTCTTATTGTGTTTCTATTACGTCTGTCTGAGGCCTTCCTATGAAAGTATTTAGTATTTTTGTCTCCCCCTTGTAATCAATCTACTTTAGAACGTTGTTTCCATATAATCTCTTCCTTCATTAGGATCTCAGTCAATTCTCTCACAATCGACTTCGTCCGTAGAATGACAACAACATTCGTTTTCCTTTTATCCAACAAATCCAAGGCTTTTTCTACTTTTTTCTTTCTATTCCTGAGATCACCAATGGTCGTCTTACTCCACTTAAGTAATTTGGTTTCGCGATTGGTAATCTTGTCAATGATAGAGAGCCCACTTCTCTTGTTCCATCCTTCCGCACTGAACTCTTTACATTCATCATGCTTCTGCCAGAATGGCTCAAAGAAAAAATTCCACCCCTACCTTATATCATCAGCTACCAGTTGCGTTTGGAGGAAAATGGGTGAGTGATATGATCCGCACCGTCTTAGCTGGTGGACTCTGACGTGCGGATAGATGGATTGCCAAGAGCTAGTTGCTACCATTATGTCCAAACGTTCTTCTAGATAGGTTTCATCTGAATGATTGTTACCCCACATAAAAGTCTCGCCATAGTACCCAAGATCCTCCAGATCACAGTCTTCCACCGCATCATTAAACATGTCCATTTCATGTACATTTGCCAGGTTCAAATCATTTTTCTCTTCGTAACTCTAAATGAGGTTAGAATCACCACAAACAAGCCATGATAGATCATTCATATCCCTAAGTTGTCTGAGCAATGTACAGGTTCTATGTTTGTTATCTTGCTCCAGCCTACCATAAATACCTATCAACCTCCATTGAATGCCTCCGTCATTCACGCAAACATCAATGTGATTTGCTGACTTGGATTTGACTACCACCTCCATCTCAGACTACCAGACCATCAATAAACCTCCAGCCCTTCCCGTCGATCCTACTCCTTTTCCTTTCTCCCAGCCGAGATCCTTGATTACTTCCCCCCATTCATTTTCTTTCTTTTTTTGTTTCCATTAGAAAAATAATCTTGGGGTTTTGTCACTGGAGCAGTTGCCCCACTTTCCTAATTGCCAGGGGATTCCCCAACCCCCAACAATTATAGTTAGGCAGCCCATGCTGCTTGGCACTACCTCTTCGCCATCCATATTTTTCCTGGTATCAGCTGCCTTTTGTTTCTTACTGGGGGGAATCATCTGCATCGTTAGTATTAAGCTCTAGTCCTCTCTTCTGGGGTGTTAACATAACATGTTCTGTCTGCCTTTGTTTTGAGGCTTCCCTGCTTTGTCTTTACTAATGGCTCTGCTTCTTTTATATTAGCTCCTTATGTGGTAGGCACCTTGGATTGAAAACAAGATTGGAGATCCCCTTCAAATAGTGTTCCTGTGGGTTCTGGAGCTACAGAGGGCCAACCAGTTAATAGGTGCGGTGCCCGATCTTTCTGGGTTGAGCTATATTGAGCGGAAGATCCAAAGATCCAGTGAGAAGGGGGAGAAGACGAGGGAGATTAAAAGTTAAAATAGACCAATTAATCACCGTTACCGGTGGGGGAACGATCGGAGGCGAGTAAAGGCTAGTACTGGGCCATCAAATATGGTGGGTTTGGGATTTGGTATTTTGGGATTTAGTTCAATGAGGAAGAAAGAGAACACAATGCAGATGAAGAGGGGAGGACAGGGATGATCACGATGAGAGAGAGTAAATTTTGGAAATTTTGCTTTTAAAATTTTATTTAATTATTTTTTTCATACAATGTGGAATCCATGTAATCAAATATTGGGTGATTGGACAATGACGTGGGCGCGTTGATTGTTAGTCAACGCGTTTGACCGTTTAAGATAACGGTCAATTTTGGGGTTTGGACAATTTCGTTACTTTGCTGTATAGTTCAGACCATGATGTTATAGATCGAAAAGATTGATCAGGATGATGTTTATTATATGAAAAGTTCAGGCCATACAAATATATTAACCCTAAAGTTTAATCAAACATAATGCATTTATTATCAGCAGACACATATACCTCTCTCATTAATGACATCTTATCAGGTAAACTTGATCAACAATTCCGTGCAATCGTTGTCAAGAATTTTAGCTATTAATTCAATGTTTTCATTCAATACAAAACCATTTCGTCCAAGTAATCGCCGGTTTTGTGAAGTAATAAATTCTACAGACGGACGGACGGACGGACTGACCGACTGAGAGTAAACTGTCTTGGCTTGTTGGAAACGGGGAGGTAGTTGGCCAATAAACAAAGAATATTATGCATTGGTGGTCTTCGTTTGTGGCACCAATTATCACAACGATCGACAGTGTTAATTAGTTTCAAAGTCGGCACTCCATGAAAGTGAAAACTACTTTTGTAAATTGTTTCTGTTCTTCGTTCTAGTTCTAGTTCTAGTTCTAGGTAGTGGGTAGGCAAAACCCATATGATACGTGTCATTCCTTGCTAGTCGTGGGATTTCAATTCTCCCGCAATTCAGGAGGATTATGTAAATGATAATTACATTTGGGCGTTGTTGCTATTTAACAACTAAATTAGTGTCTTACAATTTAATACCTAAATTACTAAAGCTTTACAAACAAGTCTGATTGGATATGCATAGTTACGTTCAAACAACATATAAAAAAAATAGACAAATCAGTATCCAAATAGAATTCGATAAGAATATCCATATCCAAACTTTATTATAGTGTTTATAGGCAGTGATTAAGCAAAAAAAAAAAAAAAAAAAAAAACTCAATAAGAAAGACTGATTTAAACTGTGGTAATTGAGAAAGAAGAGAAAGCTTTACCGCGGCCACATTATTCCTAAATTTGTCACCTTGCAATCCTACGACCCAAATTGTCCAAATCTTGGACACAACTTGTGGAATTATATCCGAACTACTCAAATTTTCCTCAAGTTAGGCATGACAGTCAAATCAAATTCCGGTCGCGCAAAACGTCGTCGTCATTCTGTCAAATCATCATCCACATTATCTTTTGCATAGTAACGCGTGAAAATTACTAACTATACTTGGACAAAATTTTCCAGCTTCGTTCCAATTTCTTTGGAATTATTATATTTTCTTGCCCAAAAGAAGGAAAAACACAGAAGTGGGAGGAAATCATTAGAAGAAAAAAAATAGCCACAAACCAACCTTAATCAGGGTTTTGGTTTCTTGATTTCAAAATTCAAACTAGGTGACATCATGCGGTGGACATTTATGACACAAGCTTCCCACACTCAATCCCCATTTTCTTCTGCTACTATAAATATCAGCACTTGGCCACATTTGGTGACAACACACAAAACAAAAAGACACTTAACAAAAAAATGGAGAGGATTAGCTGCAACAACACCATTAATGTTGCAGGTATGATCAACATTAGCAGTAATGCCGCTGCTAATCATGATCATCAGCAGCAGCAGCAACAAAACGTGGTGTCTCCAATCACGGTGCCTTGTGATTCCAGCAACAACAACTCTCCTTCTCCTTCTCCACCTTCCCACCAGTACTCTTCCTCCTCCACTTCTCCCGCCGCCGGTGGGTTTCCTTCTCAACACCAGTACCATCAGCAACAACAACAAGTGATTCTCAGCCCTTGTGCCGCCTGCAAGATCCTCCGCCGCCGGTGCGTCGACAAGTGCGTCCTGGCTCCTTACTTCCCTCCAACCGATCCCTTGAAGTTCACCATCGCCCACCGCGTCTTTGGGGCCAGCAACATTATCAAGTTCTTGCAGGTTATTGCTACTTTTTTTTTTTTTATGCAACCCTGTTATTATTTACGTACGGACATGCAGAATACTCGTTGCTCGTAGTCCATTTCTTCTTTTTTCTAAAATTATTCATAAACGTCAATCTCATTAGACGAAACGTGAAGTATTTTTTTTTTTTTTTTTTGAAATAGTTAGTCTATTTATGATAATTAAGCCTTGAAAATTCTTCACAATTGACCAAGTTTACCCATCTAAACCGTTAATTGTGCTATGGAAACATGTTTTTTCTCAAGAGATTTCTTTCTTCTTGACTGACTTTTCCTGTCTTGTGCTATTGCCCACCTTCTGTTTTTTTATTTTTTATTATTGATTTGATGTATCATCTTTACCATGTCAACTATAGTTATGGTTGCTCTCCACTCTTTTTTTTTTTTTTTTTGCTCTTCTTAATTATAATTGCTTTATTCAACTTAAGCATGCTGCCCTCAACAGCTTTATTGGTAGAAAAAGAAAGAGCTTTCATATATAACTTGCATGGTCGTCCTTTTATATAACTTTTTTAGCATATATATAGTTAAATATTAGGGGAGGTCAATCGGGTTCATTCCATTATGATAATTAGTGTCTTAATCAATTTCTAACTGGCAGACAAACATAATTAAAAATTAGGGGATACTTGATGATGATGACTTAGTTGGGTAATCAAATAATTAATCTAATATTAATCAGTAGAATTAACAAAATGTCTTCTTTTTTTTTTTTCTCATCAGGAGCTACCGGAATCGCAGAGGGCCGACGCGGTGAGCAGCATGGTGTACGAAGCCCACGCCCGGATCCGGGACCCGGTGTACGGCTGCGCCGGAGCGATCTGCCAGCTCCAGAAGCAGATCGGCGAGCTGCAGGCCCAACTGGCCAGGGCCCAGGCAGAGGCTGCCAGCATGCAGACCCAGCAGGCCCACTTGGTGGCGCTCATCTACATGGAGATGGCCCAAACGACGTCGTTGTCTCATCAAGAGCAGCCCGTGTTCTTCCCGGACCAAACGACGCCGCACCACCACCACCTCCAGTCTTTCAACAATATTGACACGGCTTGTTTCCTCGACGAGTCCTGGGAGCCTCTCTGGACATGACGACGATGATGATGATTAACTGCCTAATTAGCCGGGAATTTGCTGATTGGTTTTCCACTAATTATTGTTGTTATGTTAATCAGCATGATTTTCTAGGCTTTAATGCGTTCTGATAATTTGATGTGGCGGGCCATTAGGAGAAAAAATGGAAGAGGGAAAAAGAAAAGACTGGATCCATACTTGAAGATTATAGGAGGTGGAAAACTAAATAAGGAAATTAAATAATTGAAGTGACTTAATTATTATACAAATCAGAAGGTTAGTTATGGACTTTGAATATGTGTTAGTTTGCTTGCAAATGTTGACTGAGACCCTCTTTAGAGAAAGCGATAATTAATTGTAGGGTAAATACAATTTAATATTCAAACTTTTTATTTTAAATAATATAGTAGCCAAACATTTTCCAAAACAATCTAATATTCAAATCGTCAACTTTCCGTCCGTTTGACCGTTGGTTGACACTTCAAAAAAGCTTTGTTTAGGGGAAATTGTCACAATACCACTTTGTTTTCTTGTTTTGGCATTGCAGATGATTGAATATTTAGATATTCTATACCATCATGATGGAGTCATGGACTTCTCGGGTTTGGAACCACGATATGTTAGTGGTTTTTCAGAGAAGATATCGATGGATATTGATGAAGCGTCGTACTACGAACTTTTTTGAAGTGTCAACTAACGGTCAAACGAATGGGAAGTTGACGATTTGGATATTAGATTGTTTTGGAAAAGGTTTGGCTATTATATTGTTTAAAATGAAAGGTTTAGATATTAAATTGTATTTATCCTTAATTGTATTAATAATGTAATACAATTAATATAATGTTTTCGTTGTTTCTATAAAAAAAATAATGTTTTCGTTGTTGTGAGGCAACAAGTAATATACACACAAGAAGATGATTATAATTCATTAATTATAAGTCTGCCCTCATTTTTTTTGGTTGACAGGAGGCCGAAGCCAAGAAGGGGGACAGGGGAGTTACAGAGAACTGGTCACTGCAACTTGGCGCTCAACACCAACTCCAGCTTTATCATCATAAGTCTGCCCTCATAGGAAACATTGTAATCGTAGTACTCAGCTCTTGAAATGAATGATAATAAAGACTCACAAGATATTGATTTTTTGTTTTCATTTTAGATTTGTTTTTGGGTTTCAAATTCGGCCCGGGCTATTGTTTATCAATGATTAAGTCTATTAAGTAACGATTTGTATGAGTTTTTTTTCGGGGTCATTTATTACATATTTGAAATAGGAACCATCACAAATTTCGGACCATTTTTTGAAAAGCTATTTTTCTTGGATTTTTAAGATTACAGATCACGAATTACGATTTGGACTATTCTCCAACAATGGTAAAGTCTATAAATTGCTAATTTGGGCGGATTTCTTTTTCAGATGGTATTTTCATAAATTTTTGGTCGATTTTTGAAAGACCATTTACCTTGGATTTTAAAGGCTACAGATCACGTATTAAGCCTGAGACTATTTTCACCGATGATTAAGTCTATTTAGCACCAATTTGGACGGAATTTCGGGGACCATTTTTGACAGATTCCAAAGGGTACTACCGATCACGGATTCGGCCTGAGGCTATTCTCCACCTCTTATAAAGTCCACTACTCGTCGATTGGGGCGAATTTTTTCAGAGGGCATTCTCGTAACTTTTTGGGCGATTTTCCGAAAGGTCATTTTCCTTGGATTTTGAAGACTACGGGTCACGGATTTAGCCAGAGGTTATTATTCACCAATGTTTAAGTCTACTAACCAATGATTTTGGCAAATTTTCTCCGGGTTCATATTAGGCAGATTTTAAAGGGGTATCATCACATATTTCAAACAATTTTTTCGAAAGACCTTTTTCCTTGGATTTTGAAAGCTACAGATCATGTATTCGGCCTGACACTATTCTCTACCGATGAAAAAGTCTATTAATCGCCGAGTGGATTTTTGTTAGGAAGGCATTTTTGTAATTTATGGTATTTTTTGAAAGGCTATTTTCCTTAGATTTTGAAGGCTATTGATCACGGATTCGGCCTGAGGCTATTCTTCACTGATGATTAAGTCTATTAAGCAACGACTTGGACAGTTTTTTCCAAGTTCATTTTTACAGATTCCAAAGGGATACCATCACAAATTTCGGGTGATTTTTTAGAAAGACCATTTTCCTTGGATTTTGAAGGCTACAGATCAGAGATTCAGCCTGAGACTATTGTCCACCAACGATAAAGTCTTTCAATAGCCGGTTTGGGCAGATTTTATTGGATGGCATTTTCGTAATTTTTTTAATGATTTTTCGACGGACAATTTTCCATATATTTTGGAGGCTACAAATCACGGATTCGGCCTGAGGCTATTCTTCACCAATGATTATAAAGTCTATTAAGCATTAATTTGAACAGATTTTTTCAGTGCCATTTTTTATTGATTCCAAAGTGGTACCATCACAAAATTCAAGAAATTTTTTCAAAAGACCATTTTCCTTTAGATTTTGAACGCTACAGTTCACGGATTCGGTTAGAGGCTATTCTTCACCAATGATAAGTATATTTATCGAACATTTAGACAAAAAAATTTTGCACATGGCATTTTCATAAATTTTTGCATCATTTTACGAAAGATCATTTTCTTTAAAATTTTAAGGCTACTTGTTAACTCCCTAATAAACATTCTAACTCGCCTCCACGAGTCCAACCAAAATTTTAACCTGCTTACGACGTCACAAAGTAATCAATCATGGATTAGGGTTCTCCTTCAAAAAAAGCTAGCACATCAATCATATCTTATCTTAGAAGTCCAGTTATTATTCTACCTTTGCCCCACTACTCAAAGTCAGCTCACAATTTTATAGATATAACTTTGGAAATTTAACTTTCCTTCTCCTTTGCAAAATAAAACGAACCAGAGAAAAAGCTAGAAAAGATGAAAGAAGCTTTTTAGGAGTACTGTCATCTATATAAGAATAAATTTACTATAATAAAGTTGGAATTTATCTTCATTGTTGCTCTTGAACCTCCATTTCCATTCCATGTACTAGTTTCTTTCATGGACATTAATGCAAAGTTAATTTTCTTTGATTGAAATGGCATGTTTTGTTTCATGTTGGAAATGCAGTCAGTATTCCATTTTTTCTTCCACTCTCACAACGAACCATATGGAAACTGAAGCTAAGTGCCAATTTACAATTAATTGAATGTAGGACGCGACTACAGTGGAGAAATTAAACTGAAGAATTTTATGGTTTAACAAGAAAGAAAACTTCATCGGATGACAACTTCATATACTGAGAGAGCAGACATATAGAAGACGCAAGTCAAGCGAGAGCATAGACCGCTGGCCAAATGTCAACTCGTCCAATTTTTCTTCGGTATTTATAAAACTCATGGCACCAAAAATAGGACCGTATTATTTTCGATTCGGTTTAATCCGATGCCGTCCAATACATACCAAACCTTTGCACATCGTAACCCTCCTGAATTATATACGTATGACCGACCGACCGATCGGTGCTGTAGATTGTAACAGTTACTGTCATATATACTATGAGCACTTCTACTATACTATATAGTATTGGTGCCTTAATGTACAAGTTGAAGTTGTACCATAACATTAAATGTATAAGTTTAGGTTGTACCATAAAGGAATTTGTAGCATTATGTTATGGTACAACTTTACAACTTGAAGTTGTTCCATCACATAAGGTACAAGTTTAAGTTGTATCATAAAAGAATTTGTACAAAAAGTATAGGTACAATCTGAAGTTGTACCATAACATTAAAGGTACAATTTCAAGTTGTACCATAAAAGCAAAAACATATCGCACCAATGCTATATAGCATTGTAAAATTCCTCATATACTATATAGTGTCCTTTTATGAGTTTTGACTCACTGCATGCAATGCACGTCTCTATACCTGAGTGAGAGCATGATTAGCTATGGAAACCCTAAATATAATATAGCAAAGAAGATGAAGCACATGTATGCATCCAGAAAATATTAATTAGTCTGAAACCTAACATACCGTTTGATATAAATGAATTCCATAAATTTTGAGTAATTCGTTTTGAAACAATTTTTTGTGTGTGTTTGGTATATAAAAGAATTCATTTCCAATTCTAAATTTTGAATTCTATGGAATTGGAACTAGTTATATCAATTCCGAAGAATTGGGATGGAATTTCCAAATGAATTTCGCCAGTATTTACTAATTATAATAAAATGACATAATTATCCTCTTTTATTAACTAGTTTACTTATCCATATGACATACCAAACACAGGAATTCATTTGATAATAAATTCTACCAAACCATTTGGTACCAAATGAATCGAGAATTCATTTCATTTAAAATGAATTACTGTGTAAAATTCATTGTCAAACGAATTCCTGTGTTTGGTATGTCATATGAAAATCTTTAGAAATAAAGGAATTGCATCCCCAAACCATGTTTGACATAGGTTTAGAATTGAAATAAATTACAAGTTTCTCCAACTACACCCTTATTAATTTCTGGGAAAAATAATATTCATTGAAAATCCATCTTCTAATTTTTTTTTTGGTTCTATATGTAGAATATCAAAAGTGTTTTTGTGTGTTTCTATTATATTCATTAGTTCTTTTCTAATATTTTGTCGATGAACCCTACAATCTAGTTGTGTCTTCTTAACGTAGTGATACAATCGAAGCATAAATATAAAATAACCAGCAAATACTCTAGCGTTGCAATCAAATTCTTGGTGACGTTCCTCACACTGCATCAATTGGCGCCAAATAGTATATGTGGAAGTAGTTCAGTTAATAAATGAGGATAATTATGTCATTCTATTATAATTAGTAAATACTTGTGGAATTCATTTTCAAATTCCATCTCAACTCTTCAAAATTGCTATAACTAGTTCCAATTCCGTGGAATTCAAAATTTAGAATTGAAAATAAATTCTTTTAAATATCAAATACAAAAAGATTTCATTTCAAAATAAATTCATCAAAACTTGTGGAATTCATTTGGATTCATTTGAAATCCAAAGATACATTTTGGATTGTTTTGACGGAGGCAGTGGTGGTCATTGCCAATGCCGACTGTACAACAATCCATCTAAAAGATATATATGTTACTACATACACCCGAGATATCTCGACGACGACACCATTTCCGCAGCATGATTAATACTATGATGATTCATTGAGTTAGCTATTCCGACTGCCACTCAAATTTAACGGTCATTTCCTCTGTATTGATAGAAGAGCTCCTGAAGAAATAACGGAACACTTGCAATGGTAGCTTCGACAGCTCTCGAGGATACAGCACTCGCAGCGACTTCAATCTAGGAAACGGAGAGGCCTTCCACGATTTCGTTGTTAACGGCTTCATTCTACTGAAGGGAAGCTGGCGATCTCCCCAGGGGATTTCACTCTTCGACTAATCGAGGAAAAACAAACAATCAAATCGAAAATCGTCAGGTTGATAACTTCAGCATACATTGGTATAAGCAAAGGGGTTTCCAACTGTTCAGGACAACTATTCGTAGTAAATAATACTGAATTCTGTTGCAGACAATACCTTGTCAAAGCCAAGGATGAGAGACTCGACATGATGCAAACCTCGCAGTAGGTTGATATATGCACAACTGAAGCATTCCAATACTGTAACGTCTTTCCAATCATGCCGGTCTTGGCCCCAAAGGCGGATGTTTGCATGTGCCAGAGAAGGGAAGTTCAACTGGCGAATGTACTTTATATCTTCCATACTACACCAGAGACTGAAAGATTTGAGCTTTGGAGCAAACACTTCGACCCCACCAGAGAATGGTAAACTTCTGATTTCGAGGACCAGCAGTTGGGGCGACGATATTCGAAACCAACATTGTGCTGTGCAGCCATTCAACTTTAAGTAGTTCAAACAAGCTGGGAGATTAGCTAAAGGATGTACAGTAGGATAATCACTGAGACGACAGTGATGCAGTTCAAGAGTTGTCAGCAACTTAAAGCCCACAGAAGAAAGTGCAGCGGTGTCAAGACAGAATCCTTTCAACTTGAGAACCTTGAGCGATTCATAAACAGGACACCGAGTGATGGAGGCAACTAGAGGACTAAGACGACCCTTGCCACCAGCACAGCTGATGGACAGATGGTGAAGCTGGCCACCATGGGCCGCAGTTGCATATTGCATGACATGATCAAACATCTCCATGCATCTAACTCGCTCGCATGTTATTGAGCCAAAGTTGAAGGCGATGCTCCCAACAGCAATAGAATGGCACCGGAGAGATAGATACATCAGCACGTGATCTGTGAAACTCCATTCTGCCTTGAAGGACGTCCTGCTGAAATTGAGGGCTGGAACTCCTTTCCACAAGCATCTCCACCTCTTTGATAAAATGCTGGTTTGAACTAAGGTCTTGCTGTCGAGGGCGGCCAAGGAGAGAATGTGCTCCAGAATGTAATCTGGAAGATCGCTCAATCTGTCGATTCGTACTTCCAATTCCAACCCATGGCTCCATATTCCGGGATCCTTCGGCTCCAAGTTCATTGTCATTGTCATATCCTAGAAACCCTTATCATCTTCCTCGCCAAACATCACACACCACAAGAAGAAGAAAAATTGTCTTTCTGCAAGGAAAACATCAACAACCAATACACACACGGAAAGAGGATCACCATAACAAGAGATAACAACAGTAGAGATCCAAATACAGAATCTGACTCGAACAAAATCCTCCGCACTCTCTGATATCATTCTACTTCATCCAACCAAAACCAATTTGACGAGCGCCATATAAAAGTTTCTTCCAAGTATGCAATGCGGTTAATATTAGCACGGAGAAGAAGGAACCAAGACGAGAAAACCCCTTACCTGTCGAAGCGCGAATCGATCTCAAGGCTAGCCAGCGATGGAAGAAACCCTCACGCTTTCTTCGGCTTTGCAAACCTGCGCGCCCTTTTTTTTGCCCAGGGCTCTGCTTCGCCTCCGGTTTTCTGTTGAATCCAAAAAAAACTAATTATATACCAAAGGAGAAAGGGCCGAGAGACCATACTTTAACGGGCCCAAATCTGGCTTTCCTTGATACACTTGGGCCTTATCCCTCTTATTGGGCCCCAACGAAGTCGTCTTGCTCCTTGTTCTTTCTTCTTCTGTTTGGCCGATGAGAAAAAGAGAATATCCAACTAGTAGTGCTTACAAGTTACAATTACACAATTGACTTCAAGAATGCAAGTAGGGATGGCAACAAAACCCGAACCCATGGGTACCCACCCGATCCAATCCGGTCAACGCGGGTAAAACCCGTGTTGACGGGTTTTGGGCCGGGTTCGAGTTTAAACCCGCTACACTATTCACTGGGTCGGGTTGGGTTTGGGTTTAGGTAAACCCGCCCCATGGGTACCCGCTCACACACATATAATTACTTTCCAGGTATATTTAATATTCTAAATAATATATCTTCCTTAAACAACTAATATTCTTTATGTTTGTGGAGACATGTATAATTTGTTCTTTCTAATTGTTTAGAATGAAGTTGATATTATGAAGTGAAGAATGAAGAAACTTAGTTGACGAGGAAGAAACTTTCAATTAATCTTATTGTTTATAGATGTTTATCTTTAATTTTGAACAATTTGTATTGATCATTTGCGGTTTGCTTGTATGTTTAGATTGGTGTTTTTTGTATGAGAAAATTGATGTTAAACTTTTATTTTGAAAGAAACTTGTTATTGTAAATTTTTTACTAGAAAAACCCGCGGATACCCAGCGGGTTGAGTTTGAGTTTTTCAATCCCAACGGGTTTTACCCCGGGTTTTTTTTGGCGGATAAACCCATGGGTTTGAGTTTGGGTTTGATAAAACCCGCCCCAACCCGACCCATTGCCATCCTAACTCTAACATAAAAGAGAGGCATATATATATACAGTTCAATTCACAAAATTCAGAACAAAACATGTTAAAAAGCCTGATGGATGTACAAATATGAGACTTTTAGTCTGGGAGAAGATACAAATAGATCAATGTGTGTGTAACAAGATGGAGCAAGTTGGCCACTGTATAGCAAGTTAGGCGCTTGAAACAAAGAGGAAGATGAAAACTGGGGATCGTCGACGGATGAAAAGCACAAAATTTTCCAGCAGCACTGCAATGGTGGGGAAATAACCTGGAGGCTCTGGTTGATAGTTGATATACACGACTATATGATATGTCTTGTTTTCTACCCGGCACTGGTCAACTATTTCTGAGGCAGATCCTCGCTTGCTGCTGGTTCCTCATTTTTGGTCATGGCCTTCCTTGCTAGCTCATAGCCAGCAAAGTTCATGGCGCCTAGGGGAGCAATCCAGAAAAACCTCGGCACTGCTCCCTTGAATAGCCCGAGGGGGCCCTCGCGACGGAGTATAGAGTAAGCAACCATTGACATTGGTATGTGTCTTCCTCCAGGGGCAGTCATCATTCTTGTCTTTATCACATCGAAAGGGGTCGTAGACACAGCGGTCAGTCCACCAGATAAAGCTCCAACGACGATTGTCTCCCAGGGTTCCAGTTCTCGCTTCAGCATTCGTTGAACAACCTTGAAAAGTTCGACATGACAACTGTTCGTTATGAAGAGAGCATAAGAACTGCAAGCTCAAGCCTAAGATAGAACATTTGAAGCTACTAAGGTTGGAAAGTGTATCTGTAAGGGTGATCCCCAAGCAAATGGTCTCTTTTTGTCTACCAATGGGGGCACGAGACCAGTCGTCCCTCCCATGTGAGCTATAACAACCAATTATGGTATTTAAGATATTTTCTGTGAGAAAAAAGTAACTAATGGAATGGTAGATAGTTTGTGTACTAATAAGGAATAAGTGACTGAGAAAAACTTTAAGAGTGCTAAAATAGCAAATGCAATATGATGAGTGAGGCGGACTTTAGATTCGAACAATTCATGGTATTCAGGCGAATAGTTGTTTAAAACATTAGACTCAAATACTCGAAGAAAAAGTTAGATTGGAAAAGGTGTTATTTTAGGAGCAAAGTCCTTTTTGAGTTACCTATTTTTCAGCCAAAATAAACACACCAATAACGATTATATGTGACTTGAGAACTGCAACACTTCAGTAAGGTAGCGAAACGATTCCAAGATGCTTATTTTGTAACAAAACAATAGACTCACCTTTTTGGATTCTTCATAAACGCCCGTGCCAACCACATAGAATGGAATTTCACGGCAAAGGGTAGCACCGGTACCACGAAAAAAACCCTTTAGGCCATCTTGTTGCCAAGTACCCACAATTGCTTCCCCCACGCTGTCAAAAAGACCAGCCTGCAAACGCTGCTTCAACACCTCACAAGGAATTCTCACTGCCGTCCCCAAAAATGTGCTACAAAATGATGATATCGATTGCACCTGCGTAACACATCCCATATAATATCAGCATCTCATCATCCTACGCTCTAACATGATTCTTCTAAACAAGTTTCAATCATGGAAAATGTTAATGGCCTGCTGCAGAGGCACAGGTATAAATCTAGAATTTATTCTAAGGAAACATGCAGCTTGCAACAGAACAAGAGCTTTTCAAGTTATATGTAAATGCAGAGATAGACAATCTGGAGAATGGTCCTCTCTCCACTCACAAATTCGTTACTCATTAGTAATCAGTCAAGGGGGAGCAGACCCGTACAGTCGGAATATTCTATACCTAGAGTGCGTGAACCAGGCAGGCAGGCACCCATTGTTTTAAGCTACTTCTATGAACAACAAATAGGATGGCCGAGAAAGGGAGCAACTACCAATAACTTACAGGTACAAACACTTAGAAGATCAATAATAACATGCCAATCAGAAAATAATCCACATTGTCTGAGCATACTATTTAATGGTTGTATTGTTATGACCCTATCTCATTTCAAATATGCACTTTTATTCGCGGATGAAATCGCATTCCAGATATTTCTACCTTTTATCAAAACCCAGCAGTGGCATTCGAGAAGCAAAAAATGGGCAGTTCAGTACAGGACCATATAATCTAAACAAAATTAGATGATCATTACCTGGATGTCTGGGAGCGTGGGGGCAACATGTACCAGCACAACTTTGCTAACTTCATATATCCCCGTCCGCAGACCATGGCTGCCAAGGATATTAAGCAGCATCAGCAAAATTCATACAACCAGTTACCATTTAGAAAAAGGATACAAATGAAATAGGAGACATCGATAAACGGACCTGGAGAACTGTCCCAGAATTGCAGGAATGGAACCCCGATACAATCCTTGAACTCCAACTTGTGGAATCTTCGAAATGATTTCTGGGAATGACAAAGTTGAAGCTTGCACACGAGTCTAATATGCCATTGAAAAGATCAGACTTGAATGAGAAATACAAAATCAAGGGATGAGAACAAACATGATTGTACCGCATATCCTTTTGACTAATTGAGAAACACATTCATCGATCGTTGCAAAAAAAGTGCAATATTGAAGTGGGCAACTCCACAATTTTCCTTTTCCCTCCACAATATCTCCAAATTGCACAAATACTATCTTATCAAGGAACCCTATATCCACAACTTGATGAAACTGATGTGAGAGACGGGGAATTTCTTAAGCTATCTCATGAGCTACTAATGCGGCCAGAAGCATCTTGCTACCACACAGTTTCAGCAACTATACATTTTCATAGTGACAATTACAAGGCATAGTTACATTAATCATCTCCACGGGTGTTCACCTTAACAGTATCGACAGGATGCATCATAGCTGTGGAAAGCGCACACGAGAGACCCCCAGCTAAGGCAGACCGTAGGACGTTACCGGCCGGTATTTCCACAGGAGGAGCAACAGCAACAACAGTTGCAGCTTCAAACCATATGCTCCTGCATTAGTATAAGAAAACGCCTCAGGTATGCAACCCAGGAGCCTTCAGTACACCCATTTTACTAGAGGAAAACTCATGAATCTCGGCGGTTTTCCACTTCACCTACTGGGTTAAGGAGCATCTAGCTTTGGTTAAAAAAACATATAGAGAAAAAAGACTGGAAGTTATTCACTAGTATATAAGACATCACATATGCTTAGACAAGATTGGCTCAGGAATGTTAGTTTGAAGGAAATTGTGTGTATTCAAGGAGACTGCATTTCTAATACACAATAATTATAGAAATGAAGGAGAAAATAGCCCACCTGGGATCATCTTGAAGACGATCAGAAGGCAGCAAAAGCATGAAATTTCTAAAATGCCCATAAGAGATAGATTCTTCTGCATCTGCCATCAGAAATCGCATCATAGCCATGGCATTCTCCTCATTAGCTGGAAGTCCAGCATTTTCTAGTGATGCCAGTATTTCACTCCTTTTTAGGGTACCAGACTTGCTCAAACAAAGAGAAGTATAGGCACGGAGAATAGTTGGTTCCCTCTGTTCCATCAGTGACAGAAACTGCTTCCAACCAAAAGATTTTGAAAATAAATGATTTCTAGCACGACGCATGAAGTCTCTAGCATAATTCCTTGGCAATTTCCTCTTTCTCATAGCCATTTCAAGATCTTCCAGAGTCACTAGACCATCACCATCTCTATCCAATTCCTCAAAGAATCTCCTTCCTGTAATCATCATGCACTAAAATAAGAGATGCTCTTAATGACAGAACGAGAATATTTGAACCACAGGAAAAAAACAAGTTCATAGCAGAAGCCAGACTACTAGGACAGGAAAGCGTCAGACAGACGCTAACGAGCAATGCAATTCTTTACCCAATTCGCTCAAACGCTGCCAAAAGTAAATGAAAGAACTCTGGTTTGGATAGTTAACTGTACCTTCAGACTCTGTGTATCTGAAAAAATCCTGTACAGAGAACAACTTTTTCTTGTCAGGGTGATCTTTTGAAGCCCTTGCTAGTTGTGGGACAAGCTCCATTAACTCCGTCAACGAGACGGTAGATAAGGTTGATCTCAACCGTTCCACATTGGACAACGGAATACTGAGCAAGCCACCAGCCAGCTTCTGAGGTAAACCACCCCCTGTCTCTTCAGTGCTGCCAGCATTGGCACCATCATCGCCTTCTTCATTAACTGAAGACACCCCAACAATAGTAGGTGGAACACTACCAACCCTTGCAAAGCTTAAGTTGCCCAGAAATCCATTCACCTCTATCTTGCGAGCTTCCAAACTGCTCATGAAAGCTTTCAGGTGGTCAAAGTGAGAGGTTACCCGAGGTTGGTTTGAAAACTCGCTATCACAATACTTGTTTTCATTCTCCTGCAAATACTGGTCCAATTTCTGTATATTATGAGCTAAATGATCAAACAGAAAACCTATAAGACATTCAATAGATACATGCTTCCCGTCTTTCCCTTTCCCATTCCAGTTCTGATTGTGAAGAACTTGAACATACTGACCCTTCAACTCCCTTTGCTTCAGTCCATCCTCGCTTGGCTTGGACCCTTCATTGCTGCAGAACTGCAGATTACCCTTGTCATCATCAGCCACTTTAACCACCCTCTTTTTGCTGTTTTTAAAAGGACCAGGGAACGCTTGAACAAATCCATTGACCAACACAGACCAAGTCACAGCAAACTTCAAACAGTT